GGCAACATCTAATGTTTGTGTAGTATTATGTTCAGCAGACTGTGTTCTTCTATTGTTGTGACTTAGATGACGTTCAGAGCACATTTTATGCCCAATTCATGCAAAACTCCACGTAATCCCAAGGGGTTCACATACTTTTTCTTGCAACTGTAGATCTGAAGAAAATGGTACAATCAGACTGCATAGTGTATGGTCAGTCTTAGATCTGCCAACAACTATGTAGCACAAGAGCCTGCCTAACTTGATATAAATGGATTTGATCGTTTAGGCAGGGTTAGACATAGGTTTAGGAAATCTAAAATTGATTGTACAGTCAGATTGTAATGTGTATGGTGGCCTTTATAAATATATTTTTGAACTGTAGGCTCTCTTTTGTCTGTTTCTCCTCTTAGGTTGTTCTCATGACTTTTAGGGCCAGTTCACACTACATGCATTTCAGATGCTTTTTTTCTGCATCCAAAGCGCACAGAAAGTAGGTTATATGGTTGTCAATGTCATAGTTCACATCAGTGCTTGCAGTTCCAGTGCGTTCCGGATGCAGAAAAAAAAGAACGTGCTGCATTTTTCCTGCACTGAACTGTAGTGGAACGCAGTAAAATGCATAAAAAATGCTCTGTAACACACTTGTCCCTATTTGAATTGAAGAAAAAGAGAGGGGAAAAAATGAACCAGAATGCATACAAAAGCGCACTGGAACACACAAAAAATGCATAAAAAATGCACTGGAATGTGTCAAAAACATGCATGCAAAAACGCATCCGGAACGCTTCTGGACTGTGTGTGAACCGGCCCTTAAACAGGACTTTGCCATTTAAAGTGGATGTATAACTATAATCTGATACGATGTATAACATGTAATTGTCATTTATAAAATATGTTGGAGAATGCCTTGCTGTTGTCGACAAAATCCACGCTAAGTAATTGTGTGCAGAAGGAAAACGGAGAATTTGCTAATGATGGACACCGGGAATTAACAAAGGATCCTGTGTACTATTTGTTGTGTGCCACATTAACTAAGCAAGATATTGCTTTTCCTGCTCTGTCTGGGTCCCCCACCCCAGTATCTATGTCAGAGTGAAATAGAAACACACACCTGAACAAAGGGATTGCAGCAGTTGTTAGTATAGAAAACTGCCGCAGATCCCTGCCATGTTGGACCTGATGTACAGGATGTCAGCTGTCAGTAGTACATACAGTGTCCTCCTGCACTCAGCTGAGTGGGAACAGGAATGGGTAGAGGGATCAGAGCATGCTGCTCCAGCTGCACTGCTTTCTGTACAGTGTCTGTACCAGACACAGCATAGAAGAGAGAAACTGACTTCCCCTAATAAACATGCGCCACTCTCTCACTAAGGCCGGGGTGTCAAACTGTTGCCCTTCAGCTGTTGCAGAACTACAAATCCTATGAGGCATTGCAAGGCTGACAGTTGCAAGCATTTTTTAGCATTTTTTTGAGACAGATAAAACTTTATTTTGGTGGTATTTATTCACCACTGAGATTTTTTTATTTTTTTTGCTATATAAATGAAAAAGTTCAAACATTTTTTTTTAAAAAGTGTTTTTCTTACAACATTTTGCAAATAAATAATCTTTCTTCATAAATCTTGGCCAAAATGTATTCATCTATCTTTTTAGTAAAAAAAAAATAACCCGAATTGGTTTATAACCAAAAATTATCATTTTTCAAATTTTTTTTTTTACATTTTTTTTTATTTTTTTTCATATTATTATTTTATTTTTTTAACATACTGCCACCCTAGCGATACAGTGTCACCATAGTGACACTGTACTACTTGTGGGGAGTGATGAAGATTTTTTTTTTTTTTTTTTTTTTTTTTTTACACTGATTGCTTTTACACCCATAAAGGCTGTTAAAGCAATCATTTCTCCTTCTCTCTGGCTGCATTCTTGCAGCCATTGAGAAATACTGTGTGAGCTGTGATGGCCACAGCTTGTCACATGGTACAAGGCTGATGTGAATAGCCCTGTATCATGTGACCTCTGTAATCATTCACAGATTTCACACATAGTAAGCAATGATGTCAGAAGTGACATTTTGCTTATGCAGGCCATAGACGGGTCGTTTATCAGCCGAATTTTCGTCCGACCGAAAAAATCGGCCAATATTCACACCGTTAGTGGGGCAATGCCGTCGGCTGTTTTTCGCGGATCTTCTCGTTTCTTTTTATCGGTCATGCCGGAAAATCTACAAAAAACTGCCATTTTAAGGATTGGTGGCAGCATCCATGGCAGCAACGACCGATTTTTTGTTTATTGGCCGACAATTCGGCCGATAAATGGCCCGTCTATGGCCTGCATAACTCCTATTCATGTGATCATTGATTGGCCAAGAGGAGTTCCCATTCAACGATCGGTTCCGTTGTGTCCGGAGGACATAGCAGGCACTGGATTGCGGTACTGCGCACTCCCAGGGAGCACGCACAAGCAGGGAATGCTGGAGGACATTTATAAACGGCCACCTGCCCCTGCACTGCTCCCGTCCAGCTGTTTATATACATAGGCCGGACGGGAAGTGGTTAAAGATGACTGCAGTGCTACTGTAGAGGCACACCATCACTCTTTGCAGCGCATTATTCACTTGTATGTATTGTAGGAAATGATTTCCTTTCAGGTAAACATCCTTCACATAGTAATTAGATAAATGCTGTTAAAGATAAAATGTCAGAAGGCTCTAGAAAAATGGAAGACAGGAGTCTGATCATCAGCCCATGATATCATATGGCACTTTTTCCTTTCATATCTACTGCATCTTGCTAGAAAGACCTGCCAAAACAGTAAAACCCAACTCCTGGATATTATAAACCCCCCCCCCCCCCCCCCCCCCCCCCCCCCCCCCCCCCCCCCCCTAACTGCTGAGATGAAAAAAAAAATATCCAAATGCCCATTTTACATACCTGAAGCTATGGTCACATGACTATCCTTCTATTTACTTCTTGGGGCCCTTCTTCAGGCACCCAAATCACTGCTTACTTCATGTGTACACCTCCTATATTGGTGGAGGTCAAAACTTCCAGCAGCCAAGTCCTCTCTCATATGCTCCAGAGGCAGGAGGACTCATGGGGGCAGTGAGGGGACCAGTGGCCAAGAGGATAATGAGCAGGGGAAAATGTCTGGTCCCCAGGCCAGGATATTAGCTTGGTTCATAGAAGAAACTGTGACTTTGATCCATTTCTCTGCAGGATGGCTTAGGAAGAGGTGCTTGAAACCAAGACTAAGGAGTAAGGGAATCGATGCACAAAGCACTAAAGTGAAAAAAGTAATGGGATCACATCACATGTTCCAGGAGGCTGCAGGGCAAGTCTCCCTGTACTGATGTGTTTTGCGACTTGTATAGTAGGCTGCCAGCTGTGAGGCATCAGGACCAGGGGCGGACTGACCATTTGAAAACTGGGCATTGCCCGAGGGCCCGGGGTCAGTAGGGGGCCCCATGAGATGCCCCTGGTACCTTTTTCATAGGCATTTTTGAGTTTGGGCAAGGACACAGGGACCCCATGATCCCCTATTGCCCGGGGGCCCCATGAGTTGTCAGTCCGCCCCTGATCAGGACGTAACAGGTGGCTCCCAAAACTAAGATGGCGGCACCAAAGCCTGGAAGCCCCGAGAAGTATTGGCTGCAGGGCAAACCGTGCTGGGCTCCTTAAAAAAGTCTTAACTTTAGAACCACTTTAAGTGGTTTTAAACCTAAGACATGGAATATGAACAAAGCATATCCCCCTATAGTGTGTACTTGTCTCAGTCCAGAGTGTCATTTCTGTCTGCTGCCTCTTTTCCCTGCTATTTGTCACTTTTGACAAGGTTTCCAGACACCAAGAGAAAACAGGTGATGGAGAAGAGGTTCAGCACACTACCTGTGATTGATAGCCTCATCTCTGTTCCTGTGCTTGGAAGTGAAGGGGGTGTGTCTCTTCCCTCCAATCAGCTCTTACTGAGCTCTGCAGATTGTAACTTCAGCTATCTGCCCCCAATTTCTGAAAGCTCAGACGAGCTGTATAAATTCTGCACTTTGAACGGATGTAGAGAAGACTGCAGATAAACAAGTTCAACTTATGTAGGAGGATTTGTGTCATCTCTGTGTCTAGTCGCTTCACTGGGTACATGTAAGGCTTGTCTGCAACAGCACTGGTCTCTCTGCCTCTCTTCACGGGACTCACTGAGAGCAGTGGGAGTCATTGGTTCCTGCTGCTGTCAGTCAAATTCAGTGAGAAGGAAGCCAGGGGGAATAGGGTCAAGCCATGTCGTGGGTGTCTGTGGATGCATGTAACGTGGCTCAGGAGCGTGCTCATACAAGTACCCTATACCACACAGCTTTGCTGAGGGGGCACTTGTAGCAGAGTAGCAGCGGATGGCACCAGCAGGGGATCCCAGAAAAGAATGTAAGCAGCTGCTCTATGCAACACCATGGCACATAGCAGGTAAGTATACCATGTTTATTATTATAAGAAAAAAAAAAAGTGTTTACAACCAATGTAAAAGTCAGTAGGTACAGTATATGTAGCCATAGCCGGGTGAAGTTTCTCTTTAACCTCTTGGCGCCAGCGCCTCCTGGCCCTTTAAGAGTTTCAGAAGCCGGGAGGCTGGCAGGGTTTAGGGTCATGTGATTGCCATTATTTTCCGTCATGGCAGTCACATGATCGGAAAAGGTCCCGATCGCAAGGGCAGATGGGGACCTTTCCGTGAGTCATGGATATGTGTGCTGGGAGCACGCAGGGCGGGCACTCTCAGCACATATATATTTTCTAATAGCACGCAAATACGTGGCCGATCGGCGTCAAGGCCCAGATGCAGAGAGGCCTCATATTTGTGTGTGCTCGGCATCAAGGGGTTAAACACGCTACAATACATGATCATAAGCTTTGATGACCAGAATGATATTGAGGTTGAGGAGAGGAAGCAGAGGCTTACAGCATTTCATAAAACAAAGTGTGAAGCAACTCTAATTTCAGTTCTTTGTTTTCAGTGATTTAGGTCCCTCTTGCATGATGTCTCACAGTAAAAATAAATCTTTGACCACCCAAGAAGATGTACGCAGGAGACTTTATCAGACATTTAAAAACAAAGGTGTTTTGGATTCATTGAAGGTAATTGTTTCTTTCCAATCTATACAATAAATCATACACATATAATGTACATCACTCAATAATAAATGTGTGTTTATAGAGTCTAACTATTTCATGTATTATGGTATTTATTTCTTGCTTTGGATGGGAAAGTATTCAGATCATTTCTAACTTAGATTTGGTTATTTGGGAAAGTATAGACCAGTGAATCAGATTGTTGTATGCAAGTGAAAGAATCTGGCGATATAACCACCTCTGAAAAACAGGCACACTAGTCTTATCTTTAAGGTGCATCAATTATGGGAAACCTCAAAGCATGCTTACCAGGTGTGGACACCACCTCTTCTTCCCTTTGCCTTCAATTCCCAGCTGTCAATTTGAGTTACTGTGTAAATACACCAGTTAGTACAGCTGCTGCAGTCAAAAAGGGACCTTCTGATACAATGTTTAAAAACAAGTTCAGGCTCAGAATACAGAGATACAAAGTTATATTGTTACATTTGTATTTACTCTGTTCCACATCTGCAGATGAAAGGGATGAATTTCAATCCGCTATGATGTTTAATATTCAAGAAGCCTGACAAGTTAATCACTTTCCTGCTGCCCTATAGCAGATATACTGCTACAGGGTGGCAGGGGTGTGCAAAATCACGTATATATGATGCCGTGCCCCACTATTCGCCGCCTCAGCAGTCAATCACTGGGTCCCATAAAGTGACACAGCGCAAATAATAATAATACAAATTGTGCAAAAATATATATATAAGTCCAACAAACAAAGTCCCAAATTATAGTCCAATGTCCCAAGAAATTGTGACAAAAAATTTCGCTGGCACCCGGTGATCACCAAGTATTACCAACGGAGGGAGAGAACTGTATGTAAACAATACAGTTGTCTCCCCTGTCAGCTCCTGCACACTGCATAAAAGAGCCATGCAAAGCAGTGTGCTTACACTTGAAAGCACTAACACAGCACAGTAAAACAGCACACAGTTAACCCTTTGATCGCCCCACATGTTAACCCCTTCCTGCCCTGTGCCATTTGTACAGTGTCAGTGCTTTTTACTAGGATTATGTACAAGTGGATGAAGCGCTCAGCAATGAGGTTGCTAAACATATTAATACTGAATAAATATAATACTGGAATATATAACTATTGTGAAATATTAAAAGTGACTAGTGCTCAAATATATGTGCAAACAAAACAAACTACCAGTCTCCCACCCTGTGGCTAAAACTGGTATTAAGTGTACACAATAAGTGTATAAAAAGTGACAAGTGCTCAAGGAATAGATATATATATATATATACATATAAATACCATATATATAAAACAAATAAACTTATATACGTGTATTAATACACAGTGAACAATCACTGAACAAAGTGACAAAAAATGAACGATGAAATATAAGTCCAAAATAAAGTGCAAAAAAAATCGTGCAAACACACTCTTTTTGTGTAAAATAGATAAAGTGCTTTATCTTCCTCCACTTTAAAAATTGTGCTCAGAAAGGTTTCACTCTGGTGCATGTATCCTCCAATAGCTGGAGTGCCTCCTCAAATCCTTCTCTGGACCCCTAAGGGCCACAAATCATATAATGATATGATGTTGCACACCGATTAGAATCTTTAACATCTGGTAATACCGGTCCCAATGGCTCCACACCACCTCCTCTATCACACCGATATCCACTCAGACTTTATTAGGCATCGAAATGCTCAGCAATAAATCTCAGGGCCATGGAAGGGTAAACAGAGAAAAAGAACTTCCATACTGTAATATGTCAGTTTATTCAGATAAAAAGCCAGATAAGCAACTCACATGATCCAAGTACAAAACCCACGGTTTCCCATATGTTATGGGTGTACTAAGGGAATTAAGATGGCGAAAAAAACAGAACTCCGTCACCGGAACTGCGTCACCGAGCTCCACCCGGAAATGACGTCACTGCACTCTACGCGTTACACCACGGACACGTGGCTTCTTCAGGATTTATTGCTGAGCATTTCCATGCCTAATAAAGTTTGAGTGCCTAATAAAGTATTTCCCCATAGGAGAAGATGGGGCGAGAATGTAGAAGGCACACCATCAGAATCTTAATATTAGTGTAATTTTAAACAAGACAAATCCTAGAATATAGAATAATTCTTGTAGGTACTTGAAGCAGACCTGTCTGTGATGGGGTTGAGGTCTACATTGTTTAATATGCTTTGTATTATATTTGCTATGAAATAAGTCTATTTTAATGTTTACATGGTGAAAAATCCATTCTTTTCTATATTAAAAAAAATCTTTTTATCTACAGAAACATTGTTTTTTTTTTTTTTTTTTCTTTTAGCAAACACTAATCAAACTAGGTAAAAAGGTTTTTTAAAAAATAAAAAGTAATATTTCACAAAACTATATTACTAAAAGATACCACAAGTGACCTGAGTTTGGATCACTGGATGTTCAGTTGAACCCCGAACAAAAGCAGAACTACAGAAGTCTATGGGAAATTAATCTTCTTTCTGTTTTTTTTTTTTTTTCATGGCTAATTTTCTTTTGTTAAAAAGGGCATGAGTAGCTGGGCACTGCCATTGCAGACATGTGCCAATGCAAAACTATATTTAAAAAATACTGTTCAGCAGGAAAAAGAAGTCTTTAAAGCAGTTCTCCATCCTAGAAACAAAACATTAAAAGTTAGCAGCTACAAATACTGTCCCCAGGGTCCCCTGGCGCCTGCATCATTAGTGTGGGAAGCCCACTGTGACAGCTTGCGGTTTCACAGCCAGCTTCCCACTGCACCTGTGTGAGCCGCTCTGTGCCTTGTGAATGGCTCTGCAGCTTTCTGGAACCTGTGACGTGTCAGAAGACTGTGGGGAAAGTTGTGGGGAGGGGGTATGTTCTTCCAAGGTCACTCCCCCAAAAATTGAAAACTTAGAGGAGGCGGGGAGGCAGACAAACAGAACTTCCCTTTTGGGTGAAATGGAGTTTAAACATATAAAAATATTAAACTCCTTTTAAATAACATGCTTTGGGGATGTCCTAGGCCTACATGTGGATTTGCGGAGCAGTACCATATAGTGAATTGTATGTTTCTTTACAAACAGCAATTGGAAATCTGTCACTTAGAGGAGGTAACAGCTTCTGTTTGCAAAGAAACCATCCGGGAATCCTGGGTGATGTCAATGACCATTTCTGTTACATGGTCCCAGCTAGAAAAAAAAAAAGTTGTGGGGGTACCTCTTAAAATTCACAAAATACCCTTATTCAGACACGCAGCTTGGGTGGCCAAAAAAGGGGGGGGGGCAGTGAGTGTTCCCACAAAAATAACTGATAGTTGTTAAAAACACTGACCTTTGTGGTGACTGAAAAATCAAAAATCTGTTTGTGTTTATGTATGTATACCTTTTTGAGTGTGTGTATTTACAGTGGGGAAAAAATTATCTGATCCCCTGCAGATTTTGTCAGTTTGCCCACTTACAAAGAAATGAAGGGTTTATAACTTTTATCATAGGTGTATTTTAAATGATGAGACAGAATATCAACCAAAAATCCAGAAAAAACACATAATACGAATGTTATAAGTTGAGTTGCAGTTCAGTGAGTAAAATAAGTTTTTCATCCCCAAGCAAAACATTACTTAATACTTGGTGGAGAAACTCTTGTTGGCAAGCACAGAGGTAAGACGTTTCTTGAAGTTGGTTACCAGGTTTGCATACATCTCAGGAGGGATTTGGTCCACTCTTCTTTATAGATCTTTTTTAAATCCTTAAGATTTCTTGGCTGTCAATTGGCAACTCTAAGCCTCCGCTCCCTCCATAAATTTTCTATAGGATTAAGGTCTGGAGACTGGCAAGGCCACTCCATGACCTTAATGTGCTTCTGCTTGAGCCACTCCTTTGTTGCCTTGGCGATATATTTTGGGTCATTGCCATGCTGGAAGACCTATCCATGACCCATTTTCAGTGTTCTGGCTGAGGGAAGAAGGTTCTCATCTAAGATTTTACAATACATGGCCCAGTCCATTGGTCCCTCAATGCGGCAAAGTCGACCTGTACCTCTAGCAGAGAAACCGCCCCAAAGCATAATGTTTCCACCTCTGTGCTTGACTGTAGGGATAGTGGTCTTAGGGTTATAGTCAGCATTTTTCTTCCTCCAAACACAGCTAGTTGAGTTCATGCCAAAGAGCTAAATTTTGGTCTCATCTGATCACAGCACTTTCTCCCAATCCTTCTCTGAATCATTTAGATGTTCATTGGAAAACTTCAGATGGGCCTGTACATGTGCCATCTTGAGGAGAGGGACCTTTCGGGCGCTACAGGATTTCAATCCATGGCGGCGTATTGTATTATCAATGGTTTGTTTGGAGACTGTGGTCCCAACTGCCTTAAGGTCATTCACAAGCTCCTCCCATGTAGTTATGGGCTGATCCCTCACTTTTCTCATTATCATCCTAACCCCATGATGTGAAATCGTGCATTGAGCTTCAGACCGAGGGTGATTGATGGTTATTTTGTATTTCCTCCATTTGCGAATTATCACTAAAACAGTTGTCTCCTTCTCACCAAGCTTCTTGCTGATGATCTTGTAGCCCATTCCAGCCTTTGTGCAAGTCTACAATCTTGTCCCTGACATCCTTTGACAGCTATTTGGTCTTGCCAATGATGGTGTGGTAGAAGAAAGAGATTCTGTGGACAGGTGTCCTTTATATACATAACAAGTTACCGTTCGGAGCACCTTCCTAAATTGACAGGACTAATCTGTGTACCACATGAGCACATAGCCAAGTCTGTGGGAGCCAGAATTATTGTTGGTTGGTACGGGATCAAATACTTATTTTACTCACTGAACTACAACTCAATTTATGACATTTGTATTATGTGTTTTGTTCTGGATTTTGTGTTGATATCCTGTCTTTATCATTTATAATACACCTATAATAAAAAATTATAAACCCTTCATTTCTTTGTAAGTGGATAAACTTTACAAAATCTATATACTCACAAAAGAAATTAGAAAGTAAATAAAAACACTGACACTGTGGGGAAAAAAAAAAAAAAAATCCTTTATTAGAAAAACCATAAAGATTGTAGATCTATGTCATCCTGCCACCCAAAAGATGTTTTACCTGCTGCTTCTCCTAACCAAAATGACAGATTACTGGCCATTTTTTTAAAAACAATAGTTGGCCAGCGATCTGTCATCTTGCAGTCGTAACCCTATTGCAGTTAAATTATAGACCTCTGGCTGCCTGTTGCTTTGTAAATGCATCAGCCAGGGATCTGTCATTTATTGGTGGTGGTAGTAGTAGTAGTATGACCGCACCAATGTTAGCACTACTGCCACACTAGCTAAATGGCTGATCTCTGGCTGATTTCTTTACAAACATCACCTGACCAAGGATCTGTAATTTGCAATGGTAGCACTACCACCTGCGTATGGGATATTAAATCTGTATGCATGTGCAACTTTACGCAAGTAGCAGCACTTACCTGTATACAGCCACCTACACCCGTTCACGGCTATTGGCAGCTGTACGCTGCACCAGTGGTTCCAGGACACCAAAATAAGCTAGGTGTGTTTACACTGGATAGAGTAATGGGTCTGTGTGCAACTTTTTAGAAAAGATTTAGAAATTTTACATGAATCTAAGTGGTACTTTGAAATGTTTTTTTCTTGATCTCTTCCTGAAAAATAGCAGTGCACTTCTTGGTATATGTGCCTAGGCATTTTTCTACCTACAGCCTGATATCTGCAGTGGGAGATCTGTACTATAAAGGTAACTGAGGACATGTTTTTTAAAGTTCATTTAATGCCAAGTTTCCTAAATTTAAATATCATTATATTTATGGTTGTGACACACACTGCTAGTTTTGTATTTATGGTGCTTTTTTCCTTTCTGGTAATGCCTATTTTAACAGATCCAAAAGCACTGAACAGCTAAAAAAAATTTTTTCCTAAAAGTCTTTTCATTAGTACTACCAAGAAATCCCTTTTGACTGATTTTATTCCACCAGTTCTGTTGCATTTCTGGTGGTTCTGAGGCTAGTGAGCACCTTTGTGTATAAAATCATGACTTCATTAACCACTTAATAAATTACTTGTTTGACTTTTTTCAGTAAGGCCCTGCTCTCACTCTCGCTTTTGCCGCACTAAAATGCACCGTTCCAGCGTGAAAAAAGCGTACATTCACATCGCTGTACTATGTTTTTTGTTTTTTTTGTTAAAGTCCTGCTTGCTGCATCTTTTTGTGCCCTGTTTGAAAAACGCACCAAAAACACACCTTCCATTATAGTCAATGGAGACACACCAAAAATGCACCATGCATTGTTTGAGTCACATGTTTTGTTTTTTTTTTCCAGGTGACCATGATGAAAATGCATTATGCATTGTGTTCAATTTTAGCGCAATGTATTAAAACGCAATATGCATTTTTAAAAATCGCACCAGTGTGAACAGGCTCTAAGAAATTTGTGTGTTTGCAAATAATTTACATTCTTCTAATATAATTCTTTAGACACAGCTACGAAACCAGCTTATTCAAGATCTAAACCCCCCTGTGCATAATAAAGAGCAGCTCCATTCTTCAAACACTTCCAGTAACTCTTTGGTACATCAAGTGTGCAACAGCCTGGTAGCAGATCATATGAGAAGATGTGGTTATGAGTATTCTCTCTCTGTCTTTTATCCAGAGTGTGGACTAGAGAAGGAAAAGGTAAGGTGCATTTTATCATGTATATGTCCTTTTAGTGAAAAAGCTGCAGTACTTGACCGCATGTTTGATTCATTGGTATTTTTCACACTTTCTATATAATTAATGTTTCTTTACATATTTAATTGTATTGTATGGTAATCCAAATGGCTTAGTTGACATGTTGATAGGCATCCCAATAGTAACACAGGCAGCAACCTCTTAATATAAAAGGTGCCTATAATTTTAAAATAAACTTCCATCCTACCCCAGTATCACATTCTACACACCAAATTCTCAATGCAGAGCTCAGATAAAGTTAATAACAGTTATTTTCAATGCCAAGCACAACGTATATGCAACATCGCATAGGGCTGCCAGACTATACCCCACCCTGGTTGAGCTATGGTATTGTTCATCAATGACTTTTTTTAAGAAGTTGAATACCAGCCTGTCATTTTCATCCTTGTGGCTTCACTATGTACTTTGCCAATAACGCAAAACAAATATGCCGGTCCATATGTCTTACTTTACTCTTTGTATGCTTATATAGCTATTTATTTGTAAAGCTACAGGGTGACAGGTTCACATATTAAAGACTTGTAGGAAGGTTCTGACAGATGACATATGCAACATTCTGTTTCTTTCAGAGTCCTCTCAATATTTGTATTGGGAGAGGAATCTTTACTTTTTTTTTTTGGTCAAACTGTCCTCATCAGACCCTTGCATTTGTCGGATACCAAAAGCATCACATTCCAATGCAGGAACATGTAAAAAGTCTCTTTAGGTTGTTTCACATAGGGGACCTTCATGTACAAGGTGGTATCAAAAAGTTTTGAGACTAGTTTTGTAACATGCCAACAGATGGCAGGCCAAGGCTGCACGCACAGTCACAGGAAGCACCGACCTTCATAAGTCAGTGTGCCAAAACACATTGTCCTGTGTACATCGGGAGCTGTGCAACTGGTGCTATTCTGACCACGTGTGTTACCACTTCTGCTATTTCATCATGAACAGCAAGTTAGAACAAAGAGCAAACATGAAATTCTGCATAAAACTTGGCAAATCTGCCACAGAGACATATGACATGATTCGGCAAGTTTCTGGCGATGCTGCAATGAGTTGTTCAAAGTGTTTTGAGTGGCACTCGCTTCAAGAGCAGAAGAACATCACTGGAAGATAACGAGAGATCTGGAAGACCTTTAAAGAGCTCAACCCTCAAAAATATCGAAACCATTCAGCAACTTCTGCATGATGATCGTCAGAGAACAATCCACAACATTGCTGCAATTGTCGGTGTGTCATACGGAATAGTCCAGGCAATTCTCACGTGTGAATTGAACATGCGCTGTGTTGCTGCCAAGTTCGTCCCTAGGCTGCTGACCCAGGAGCAGAAGGAGCAAGTCTGCCAAGAACTCCATCACTGTGACTGGTGACGAAACCTGGGTGTAAAGTTTTCATGCAGAATTTCACGTTTGCTCTTTGTTCTAACTTGCTGTCCATGATGAAATGGCAGACATGGTAATGCACGTGGTCAGAATAGCACCAGTTGCACAGCTCTTTATGTACACAGGACAATGTGTTTTGTCTCACTGACTTATGAAGGTCAGTGGTCCCTGTGACTGTGTATGCAGCCTTGTGCTGCCATCTGTTGGCGTGTTACAAAACTAATCTCGAAACTTTTTCATACCACCTCATAGCTATGGCTTGAAATGTCGTATGTGAATTGATTTTTGGAGCAGCATTGACCAGCAGTGACAGGCAGATGTTTCTGTTTGGCCTTTGATGTTGTTGTGTTTGGTTTAACTGTACTATTTTTTTTTCCTTTCTGTTTTTTTTATTGCATTACATAAATTGAAATAACTTAACATTAGGTTACGTTTTTGTTTTTAAGGTTTTTAATACATATGACCTAATGCAGATGATGAAAATCAACAAAAAATGCAGGCTATACAATTCTCTGGTAATGTCTGTTTCTTTGTATTCGTTTATATTCTCTAATGTTTATTAAAGCTTACCATATTAGTAAACTGCCTTCTGTTTGTGTTTCCTGCAGACATTATCCCTACAGAGTAGTGATGCAAGAGGTATGCTTATTTTCTTCTTAGCCACGAGCATACAATTGTAGACAAGGACCTAAGTCTCCAACACATTTGGGAAATGTTACTGAAGGGGTTTTAACATATTTTCCATAACGCTTTTTCTTCATTTAAGCAATTTTGTTTTATTTTGTACAAGATTAACTTCTTCTGTTGTGGGTTTAATCATATTATAACCAAACCATAAATTGGCTATTACAGGGCTTGAAATTTCCACTCGCCTGCTCGCCAATGGCAAGTGGAAATTATGGTGGGAGTGTGTCCCCCAGGGCCGTCTTGCTGAGCAGGCGCGGAGCTCAGGCCGGATCTGTCATTGGCACTGGGAGCCGTCAGACTACTCAATAGCTGAGTGCAGTGAAAGCAAAACAAGGAGTGTGTGCTGTGCTCTCTGCCTCCCCCTAGAGTGCAGTACCCGGATCTGTGAGTGAACAACGAAGTACTGCAACTTTTTATGGGGGGGGGGGGGTGTTTGTGTGTGTGTGTGTGTACGTGTGTGTGTGTACGTGTGTTGTGTGTTTGTGTGTGTCTGTGTATGCATGTACAATTGTACATGTGTCTGTGTGTATGTACATGTATCTGTACATGTGTGTGTGTGTGTACATGTGTGTTTTGTGTGTCTGTATGTACATGTGTCTGTGCATGTGTATTTCTGTGTATGTACATGTATCTGTGTGTATGCGTGTCTGTACGTGTGTGTGTGTATGTACATGTCTGTGTGTGTGTGTACAGGTGTCTCTGTTTTGTGTGTGTTTGTTGGTGGCGAGTAACTCTAAGGCCTGGCTAGTAGCTCAGGACTTGAAATTTTAAGCCCTGGTCTATTATGAATGCCTTTTGTAAAGTTCCAAAGCGACAGGGTTCCTGGAGTTTAAAAGTTGTTGTATCATGCTGTCCTTCAGACTTCAGCCAATAGCTGTATACGACAAAGCAACCTTACAATTAGGCCTCTTTCATGCAGGTTGATCATGGGGCGGTTAAAACAGGCAGTTGAGCAGCGTTTTTACCATTTCCAGACTGGCCATCTAAAACCCACCATAAAGCCAGAGGGGTCTGTGGCTCTGATGCTTTGAATCACAACCGCAGCAAATTTAACATGACTTGTGTGATTGACAGGCAGCGCCATGGGGCCATGCATTAGTTGCATTACAAATTGCTGTTCAGTAAAGAAAAAAAAACATTCATGAGGCAACAGGATTGCCTGCTGAACATCTGGAAGCAGCTTCGTAGCCATCCTCTGAAAATTATTCCTCCGTGGATTGCTTTTCAGAGACAAACCATGTGTAAACTTGGCTTTACAAACATTTTTTTTTTCATAGTAACTCCAGTGGACTTTCATTCATATCTGTGTCGCCCCCCCTCACCTCTTCTTACAGAGTCACAAAAGGAAATGAGCATAAATCTCCTAGAAGTGAGAATACCACCTTTTGAGTGTTGTCACTGGAACAAATGTCTGCACTGGGAGATTTGCCCTCACCTCCTGTTCCAGTGACCACTGTAAAAATTAGGTAAATCCAATTGGAACACAGATGGCAAATAAAAAAAAATATATCAGATATTGCTAGCTCTTGTCTTGGTCCCAATTAACTGTAAACTGTGTGGAAAAAGAATTGCCTGCGTTTACTTTTTTGCTGATCTTCCCCATGTTTGTTTAATATTGATGTATAATCGGATCTATTACTGTATAGTTATACCTTTCATAGTCCAAATGGCTCAAGAATATTTATTTTTTTGAATTTCAGGCTTCCTCTTACAATTATTGACAGAGCTGATAGATCACCACCTGAGCAAAGATGGCAGAGACGCTGACACACAGACGGTCACAACATCACCATACCAAGAGTCAATTGGTACAGACCTTTTTACTTTTTAAATGTAGTTATCATTGTCACAAAATGGGAGCTTCCAGTGAAATAGAAACACCCTCATTTCCTTCTACCTTGTTATTTAGTGTAACAAATGTAGAGAGTATTACCGTTTTTGTCAGGACCAGGATTTTTCTGTGGTTTTTACCTGCAAGGCCATTCTACAAAAATGTGATATTGCAGCTCTTTCTATGAGATCTAGATAGTTGAAGGTATTGCGTTCAGCAAAGAATTACTTTTGAGGTGTGATCAATGCAAATTATTGGCAGATCAATGCTCCAGTGTTGTTTTCAAAGGATTCACCTCTTTTTTTGATACAGGGAGCAGTGGGGCATTTTTATCTACACTGGGGAAACCCCTTTATCGTGTGCAAAGGTGATATTATCGTAATCATTGTGTTAATGGGATTTGTGAAATGTGAGAGGTATGTCAGAATATTATTAGAAAGTTGTACCCAGGGGTGGACTGACCATTTGGAAACTTGGGTACTGCCCGAGGGCCCGGGGTCAATAGGGGGCCCCATGAGATGCCCCTGGTACATTTTTCATAGGCTTTTTTGAGTTTGGGCAAGGACACAGGGGCCCCATGATCCCCTATTGCCCAGGGGCCCCATGAGTTGTCAGTCCGCCCCTGGTTGTACCTGATAACAGGTGTCACAGTTGTGTCACAGTTACCACTTGTCCATATTTAGATATTTGTGAGAGATTATATTTTATTATTTGATAGTATGAAGTCTCAGTGTTCCATACACCCTTGTCTCAATATTTCTAAAGACATTGATTTATCTGCATACTTATTCACTGGTGTAATGAAAATGAATTGTGGTTGAACTGTGGTTTAAAGTTACCCAGCTTGCTCTTTGGACTAAACAAAGTATTCCTACCCTTCAATTGTTTATCTTCATTTAGTGGAGAAACTTAAATTCATTGATGAACAGTTTGATGAACTGTATCCAAAGCGTCCTAAGTTTGAGTCCCTGGAAGGAAAACTGACTGAGTATCGCAGAGAACTTGAAGAACAGCTTCAGGAAGAGATGACTCAAAAGGTTAGTATGTTTACTAGATTACTACAAGATGGAAAGCACTAGGAATAGGGAAACATCTGTCCACTGCCAGTTTCATAGGGACATTCAACTGAATTGAAGCTGTATCCATGCAGTGACTATTGCCTATATATAAACAGGAAAATGCAGCGCTAAAAGTGACTATTGCCTTCTCTCTTCTCAGCGAGAAGGAAGGAGGACTGGCTAGGTTACTTAGGCTTCATTCACACTTTTGTGTATAGCGGGAACACACACAAAATTGCTTGTTTTCACGCACAAATGCACTGCCGTTTTGAAGATGTGTATGTGTAACGGTGCCATTAATTCTTTTGAGGGAGTGGACCTCTGCAGTTCAGAAGGCCTGCTTCGTCAAAATGTGCAACACAGAAGGTCCATCTTACTGGGCACAATGAATACGCGTCACTAATTTCAAGGAAGCAAATGTGTGTGTGTGTGTGTGTGTGTGTGTGTGTGTATAGTCTTCAAAAAGTATGCTATTTAAACTACACGATCATCCAGGTTAATAGGAGTAGGCTAGAAATAATTGAAATACAATGTGGAAATAAGTATATGATTTTACATTTTGACCATCTATAAACTTTAAGCTTTGGTATAGTTACAGAGACGCATGATGATATGGCAACACTAGCAACAAAAATGTTATCATATGAACAGTATATGTAAAAAAGAAAAAACTTTGGTTCCTACTTTTAAGGTGCTAAATGATCAGTGATGTAAAATCAGTACGGGGTACTGTGCTCCAGATCAAATAATCAGTATTCAGGAATGCACCTGTTGCTGTAGAAATAAGCAATGTCTGTTTTTTTACCAGCTAAAACATTTCAAAGATGTTGAGATTGCAAAAATTAAATTGGAAGAAAGAGAAAAATGTCAGAAGGAGATTGCTGCTTTGCGGAGAGAATTGGAGAAAACTTACCAGTCCAAGATGGAAGGATTAGTGACACGAGAGAAGAACGCTATAGAGAGGCTTCAAAGACAGCAGGAGGTTTGTATGACATAAAAAATGTATTTTTCCATAGTGTGTTTATCACATTTCGTATTTAGTATTTGTGTGATTGTTCTGTTTTTAAATAGCTGGTTTAGGCCTTGCTTACACAGGCTTCAGCTTGTATACAGTGGGGTTTATTTACTAAAACTGGTTGACTTGGAATGTTGTGCACTTCTGCATGGAAACCAATCAGCTTCCAGGTTTTGTTGATAAAGCTTAACCCCTTCACACCTAAGTGTAAAACAAATCTTAACGCCTAAGCACAATTTTGCAACACTGACATGTGTTAGTAAAAACGGTACATATCATCACAACTACTTTGTACATCCAGGTGGATTATACCTTGCTTTTTACTGGACAAATTGGGCTTTTATTTGGTGGTAAATGGTAACGGGTATCTCCTGATTTTTTTTTTTGTTATTATCAAAGGAAAACTGGCCCAAAATGGTAAACAAAATTATGATTTTTAAATTCAGCTGTGTGTTTCTTGTTACTACCATAACCTACCATCAAAGAACAACCCAAAATACGTTTTCCAGCTCTTGACAATTGCAGCGATACCATATATGTGTATGTTATTTGTTTGTTTGTGCTTGTATTACAGCCCAGAAACAATAGTGCACATTTTGTTTTTTTTTTTTTTTTTTTTTTTTACCTAAAACACACTGACACTGATACCAATTTAAAAAAAAAAATCCTGACCTTTGACCCTGACCTTGACCCAAACACTAACCCTGGCACTGAACTAGATCAGACCTTGATCTAGGAATTTTTTTTTTTTTTTTTTTACTATTTATTTATCTTTTTTGTTTTAACAAACAGTTTTTGTTTTTTTCTCTATGCAAGAAGAGAGAGAGAGATACAATGTATCTCTCTACTCCATTCATAGAGAAAAAAAAAAAAAAACAAGGGAGGCGGGCTGTACAGTGACTGATCACTGTGATAGCCAATCAAAGGCTATCACAGTGGTCATATGACCCGGAATCAGGAGTTCTGGTTCCTGATCGTTAGAACGGGACCCAGGGCTCTCAGTGACACCCCAATCTTTGTGCTGGGAGTGCACTGTGCAGCGCGTTCCCAGCACAAAGACAGGTACGCAAATATGCGGCCCCATGGAAAAAAAAGCCCAGTTCTCTGAGGCCGCATATTTGTGTTATGTCGGCATGAAGTCATTAATTGAACAAGCTGAGATTAGAAGCTGATTGGATACCGTGCACAGCTGCACCAGATTCTGAGTGAACCAGCTTTGGTAAATCTCCCCCACTGTGTACTGCATGCTTTTACAAAGCATTTGTAAAGCTTTATGCAAGCTTCAAGTAGTTTTGTTGACGCTTTTAAAGCAGTCTTGAGGGTCAGTTTGAGGATGTTTTAAATGAGTCTGGTTACAGCATACACTTTCATTTGACTTAGCATTGCAATAACAATATTTATTTTGACAATTCAATATAATCTTCCTTGAAAAATCTCCTTTCTTGCTGTGAGTGCTGCCTGTCTGCTGGCCATCTCGTTCCACATCTTCTGGATTTCCAGCAATGCTTTGCAAATTCTGTACATTTTACCTTCAATTTCTAAGGACTACATATCCCATGGTACCTTACTACTTGCAAGCAATGATTCCTGTACTGGTTCCTCCTCCTAAAGCTTTTTGCAGCACTTCTGTAGTTCAGAAGGCAGGCTCTTTGAAATTGCCTACTCACAGGGCGTAGTGAAAACATGTCACAGAATTCAAGGAAGTAAATGTGTGGTCAGCTTCATAAAGTAAGTATAAAACCGTCAAGATCATTCAGATTAATAGGACTTTAGATTTTGACCATAGATATACATGGATACAGATCCTAAATGGTAATGTAGGGTGTCGCTTTAACCACTTGCCTACAGGGCACTTATAACCCCTTCCTGCCCAGGCCAATTTTCAGCTTTCAGCGCTCTCACACACTTTGAATGACAATTGCGCGGTCATGCAACACTGTACCCATATGAACTATCATTTTTTTGAGACAGATAGATCTTTCTTTTGGTAGTATTTAATCGCTTCTGGCTTTTTATTTTTTCCTAAACAAACCAAAAACAACTGAAAATTTTGAAAAAAAAAAAAGTTTTTTCTTAGTTTTTGTTCTAAAATTTTGTAAATAAGTGGTTTTTTTTTGTGCGCTAATGAGGGTGCATTGATGGGCACTGATAGGCTGCGCTGATGGGCATTGATAGGTGGCACTGATGAGGAGTTACTGGTAGGTGGCACTGATGGGCATTGACAGGCATGACTGATGGGCACTGAAAGGCAGCACTCATATGGCACTGATTGGCAGCACTGATAGGTGGCACTGACTGGCATTGATAGGTGGCACTGATAGGTGACACTGAAAGGCAGCTCAGATGGGCACTGAAATGTGGAATTGATGTGCACTGGTAGGCACTGATATGTGGCATTGATGAGGCACTGATGGGGACTGGCAGGTGGCATTGATGAACACTGACAGGTGGCACTGCTGGGGCTATACTGATCATCAGGGCACACTGTACATGTCCCATCTGAGGAATGCCGATTACCGGCTCTGCTCTCCTCTCGAGCTTACAGCGTGACAGCTCGTGAGGAGAGAAATGCTGATAACCGGCATTTCCTTATTTACATGTGTACAGCTGTGATTGGACACAGTTGATCACATGACTGAGCCGACATCTTCGGCTCTTTCCATTGATCGGTGATCCGCTGTGTCCGAGGGACACAGAGCACCACCGATCGCCATGCTGCGTGCCCCCGGAGCCACGCATGTGCGGTTAGAGTGGGAGGACATCATATGACGTCCTCCCAGAACAAGAGAACTGCCTTGTGCCTGTCATTTCCTTATCTGGCGGGCAAGAGGCAGTTAAACAAAGCACTAGCAGGCTTCAATAAACTTCAGCATTGCTTGAAACTAGATTAAAGCCGCTTGATTCATGTGACAGCACTCCCATTAAGCGCTGTGTTCAACAATCTAGAGTTGAAGGTTGCTTTGAAAGTTTCAACAAAACTGCTTGAAGCTGAAAGCATTAGAAATCCTTGCTATGAGTTTAACATCCTTGGAGAGGAAGAAGTGATTCTAAACCTCAATTTTTTTTCTTTAAAATAATAAACATGTCTTGCTTTCCTGCTCTGAACAATGGTTTTGCACAGATTAGCCCTGATCCTTCTCTTCTGGGGTCCCCGCCGGAGCTCCTGGCTCCTCCCCCTGCCGAGTGCCCCCCTAGCAATCCACTCCAGTGATGCGCAGAGTTCGCCTTGCCCCGTTTCCTCCATACTGGCTATGATTGATTGCAGTGGGAGCCCTGTTATAAGGGAGTGTGGTTGAGACACAGCCCGGCCCGGGTGCAAGCCCACAGGTGCACCCCCCCCATAGGAAGCGGCTTCCTATGATTACGCACTTAGAAGAGGGGGAGCCAGGAGTGCCATGGGGGACCCGAGAAGAGGAGAATCGGGGCTGTTTTGTGCAAAACCGCTGCACTGAGCAGGTAACTATAACGTTTATTATTTTAATTTAAAAAAATTAAGCTTTACAATCAATTTAAGTAATAATATTTTTTATTCAGTTGCAAACAGTCAGTAATATAATATAGACCAGTTATTGGCAAATGTTAGATCTCCATTTGCTGTGAAATTACAACGCTATCTTTCTTTTCCAGTTCCCTTGCTGACTGTGCAGAAAATTTGATTGGCAGGACATGTTGGAACTCTTAGTTACAAAACCACCAGATATCTATTGGTAGATTATCTCTTTTCATGTTGTGTTCACAGATTGAATCCAAGGAAGTGTATGCACAGAGGCAAAGTCTGCTGAAGGAGATTGAGGTGGTACGAAGTCGGGAAATTGAACTCCGTCAACGAATGGAAGCTTTTGAGCTGTATGGTTTATGTTATTAATAATATTAATAACCACTTGCCCTTCTGAGGATTTACTGCCCTTCCTGGCCAGGCCATTGTTTGCATTACTGCACTGCGTTATTTTAACTGACGATTGTGTGGTCATGCACCCAAATTAAATTTACGTCCTTTTTTTTTTTACCCACAAATAGTGCTTTCTTTCGGTGGTATGTGCATTTTTTTTTTTTTTTTTTTTCGCTATAAAAAAAAAAAAAAAAAAAAAAAAAAAACCGACAATTTTGAGAAAAAAAAAACTATATTTTTGACTTTTGTCAATTGTTTCCTGTGTGTCTTGCTGAGACCTGCGGTTTTCTGCTGCTGCTGTGAACAAGGCCTAAAGATGAGCGGAACTGAAAACTTGGCACAAATTTTGTCATTAGCATCTTTTGGATAGAAGGAAATTCAGCCTACACTCCTCCATGCAAAACGTAAATATTCGTGTTGAGTGGAAAAGTCTTTAAAACGTGGAGCTTAGCTTAGTAATGCTGCACTTGTTAAAGCTCATGATTAATGAACAGAGCACGAAGAGAGGAGAGGAAGGATGGAGATGAGGGAGTTGTTGAGCAGATGTGCAGGATAAGGGAGGTGAAGGGGTTGATATACAGATCTCACACTAAGACGTCTCACATACTGTGATATATAGGAGAGAAATGTATTGAAAAGCTTAATTGCAGCAGCTAAATGATCCTACAATCAAAGGATGCCTGCCTGTGATCTTTTATTAATAAATTATTCATTCATTCATTAGTTCTTACTTCCTTTGTTGTGAGTGGAAGGGAAGGGAAGGCTCACATATATAAAACTGTTGTGCTGTTTTACATTTGTGATTGCTATGATTCCCACTTGCCCTCCTGAGGATTTACCCCCCTTCCTGACCAGGCCATTTTTTGTGTTATGGCACTGCATTACTTTAACTGACAATTGCTCGGTCATGCAATTCTTTACCCAAATGAAATTTACGTCCTTTTTTTCCCTCACGAATGGAGCTTTCTTTCAGTGGTATTTGATCGCCTGTGCGTTTTTTTTCAAAATTTTTTTTTTTGCGCTATAACAAAAAAAAAGACTAACAATTTTGAGAAAATGAAAACAATATTTTTCACTTTTTGCTATTAAACATGTCCAGTAAAAAAAATTTAAGAAATCAAATTTCATCATACATTTAGGCTAAAATGTATTCTGCTCCATGTCTTTGCTAAAAAAAAAAAAAAAAAAATCGCAATACGTGTAAATTAATTGGTTTACGTGAACGTTCTAGCAGTATATATACTGGGATTTCTTATTTATTTATTTTTTTACTAGTAATGGCGGCAATCAGTGACTTATAGTGGGACTGCGGCAGACATTCTGACACTGGGGGGAACTTACTTGGTGTCACTGACATCCCCAGTGACACCAATACAGTGATCAGTACTGATAAAAAGCACACACTGTACTAATGGCACTGGGCAGGAAGGGGTTAGCATGTGGTGCGAACAAAGGGCTAATTGTGTGCTGTTTTACTTGGGGCTGTGTCTGTGTGCTTCACTGTAAGCACACTGCTTTGAATGGCTGTGCAGTGTGCATGAGCTGACAGGGGGGAGATCTGTTTTGTTTACAGTTTACAAACAGTTCTCGTCCCTGTCAGAGATGCTTGGCAATCACTGGGCGCAGTCGAGGAATCACCGACCGGGACCCGGTGATTGAAACCCACGGCCGCGAATGGCACCATGGGTAGGGCCCACACGCCCCCCCCCACCTAAATGCAAAATCATGTCTATATACGTGATCTTGCGCACCGTGTTGCCCTGTAGCAGTATTTTTGCTATAGGGCAGACGGGAAGGGGTTAAGAGATAGATTGTATGATTGGCTCTGTGCCTTTTGCCTATGCTCTATCAGCAAAGAGAAGAGCATTTAAAATCATGTTCATTCATAAATGAGTTCACACAAATTGTTACCCCTTGCTTTGATTGTATGTACTGTATAATGCACGCACTGTAACTCAAGAAAAGAACAATAATGATGCATGTGCAAAAAAGAAAAGTCCCCTCAGAATAATCGCTTCCCCTAGCGGTCATTTTATTACAACAGTCAGTAATAAAAGGGGAAAGGGTGAAAGAAACCTGAACCTCCTTATGAAATTTCTAGTTGCCTGATTGTCCGTGGCTTCAATACTTTCAATCAGGAAAACCAGAGTGAAGTCAAAACTCCTAATTTGCATTGTTCATCTAGGTCAGTAAAGCTGGCTATACATGGATCGCCATTTGGCCAATTCAGCAGGGACCGGACAAATTTCAAGTCCTGTAATGACACCCTGGTTATACAGAAGTCAATCGACCAATTGACTGCTATACAATCAGCCTGTTGGATTAATCCTGCTGGATTGGTGCCACTGGCTATAGCTGGCAGTGCCGATCAGTGTGTTCTGATGGCATGGAAGTCTTCTCACAGAACACAATAGCTTAGCAGGAGTGAATATCCCACTCACATCGAGTCTGTGGATGTGGGGAATCGGGTCATTTATTTTTTTTCATTCAACATGTTGGTTGAAGGAAAAGAAGAATAATTTTTTGGGCTGCCTAACTCTGGAAATACTTTTAGCTCTTAGGTCTGCATGACAGCCAGGGAACTAGCACTTTCAAAAGGACAGCTCAGTAACACAATTGTCCATAATTCCTCAGTACAAGATCCCTTTAATATGCTCTTGTTTGCCCTGTCTTTTTCACAGATCTTGGAAGCGTAGATGAGGAGTCTACATTCCTCCGATACATAAACATTTTTTTTTAGTTGTGACTTGTACCTGCTGTGTGGCATGGCATTTTCAAAATCTTTACTCAGGAATACTTTTTCTTTTAGTGCCCAAAGGTTACAGGAAGAGAAGAACAAAACCATGGACGATTTTCTCAGGAAGAGAGAGCTGGAAGTAAAGAACATTGAAGACACATTCGACCAGAAATTAAAAAATGAGCTCCTACGGTCTGAATATTTGAGTAACCTCATTATAACTGTCTTTCTCGTAACATCTGGTTTGTTTGTAGGGTTTTTTTTGTTTTGTTTTTTTGCCTTAACATGTTATTAAACTTTTTTTTTTTTTTTAAATTAAAATAACAAACATGTCCATACTCTCCACTTCTGTGCAATGCTTTTCCACAGTGTAGCCCCGATCCTCTTCTTCTGGGGTCCCGCCGGCGCTCCAGGCCCCTCCTCTTCGGTGGGTGCCCCATGGAAAGCAGCTTTTCATAGGGGCATCTGTGCATGCTCACTCCCGAGCTGCCCTGTCTGTATCCATTGAAACAGAGTGAATCACTCGACCCTGCCCCCCGCTGCACATGTCACAGCATTTGATTGATACCAGCGTGAGCTAATGGCCTCCGCTGCTATCAGTCTGCCCAATGAGGAGAAAGACAGCGGCTAGAGCCGCTGCTCTCGTGCACATTATTTATTTATTTCAGGTACTTATATAGTGCCGTCAATTTACGCAGCGCTTTACATATATATATTGTACATTCACATCAGTACCTAACCCTCAAGGGGTGTACAATCTAAGGTCCCTAGCTTACATTCATACATACACATACTAGGACAATTTTTTTAGACCGGATCCAATTCACCTACCAGCATGTCTTTGGAGTGTGGGAGGAAACCGGAGTACCTGGAGGAAACCCACGCAGGCACAGAGAGAACATGCAAACTCCAGGCAGGAGGTGCCATGGCTGGGATTCGATCCAACGACCCTAGTAATGCCAGGCGGAAGTGCTAACCATTTAGCCACTGTGCTGCCCCAAAGTTGGATTGGATCGGGCTCATGTAAGAAAAAAGGGGGGGGGGGGGGGCTGGGGTGCAGCTGCAGCACATAAAATTTATCACCTTAATGCATAGAATGCATTTAGGTGAAAAACCATAGGGCTTTAGAACCACTTTAAGCTGGCCATACACTAGTAGATTTGTATATGAACGATCATGAAAATTCTCATCAGTACATTTGATTACATGACAGATGTCATTTAAAAGTACTATCAGTTGGAGTGAATGGACTTTCCTGAATGAAATCCACATTCACTGTTGGAAATTAAATGTTCCATCCTGCTCCTTCAAATCTTGTTGTCACTGTGATAAAAAAACAAACATCAATTTGACCACACTAACGATTAGGAGAAAGAACAATTGTTTTTTAAAACAAAAGTTTACTAGTGTATGGCCAACTTTAGTCAGCACAGCTGTGGAATACTGTTAGCTTGGTTGTCTTCTATATTTACCTTCTGTATATATTAAAATACTGTATATAGGCTCTTTGATCTTGGTCTTATCTTATGAGTTTATATTGTGGTCCACACCGCTATTTATGAACACATTCTAAATGGATTTTTTCTTTTCATTGTATTGCTATTGTCACAGGGAAATCAATCCTTTGTTTCTATAATTTATTATAGATATCAAATTGAACTGAAAGAAGAATATTTAAAGAAATCCCAAAAAGTCAATGAGGATGAGAAAAAAAAACAGAGGTAAGATTCTGAAAAAAAAGCACTACTTTTGTGGTTTACAATACTATTATTATTGACTAACCGCTTCCTATCTCTAGGATGTGCACGAATGTCCTTGGGAACAAGTGGTTATATTAGGAATATGGCTGCCGCTGTAGCCATAATTTTTGTATCGAAATTTGGTGCTGGCAATGGGCTTTCATGTACAAGTGATCAGAGAGGCTATACAGCTGCCTGATCACTTATAGAGGGCATGCCTGCCACCTTTCCACCTGGACAACTACACTCAGTCGGACTGGATGCAGACAGGGGACAGGGAGGAACATCCGTTACTCCTGTTCCTCTTTGACGATTGAAGCCAGAAGCGATTTGTATTATGTCACTTCCAGTTTTAGTTGTTTGCTTACTGGCCTGTGCCAGCCAGCCAGCCGATCAAACCGGAGGGCTGTACCCACAAGAGATGATGTTCATTCCTTATGGTGACAATAAAGTTGAATTTAAAAAATAAAGAAATGGAGTAAAAAAAAAAAAAATTTTTATATATATATATATATATATATATATATATATATATATATATATATATATATATATATATTTTTTTTTAACGCCCCCCCCCCCCCCCATGTTCACCTGCAAATTCGACCGCGCACATTGGTCCTGTTTGTAGAGCTTACATTTAACTCTAAACTGGTAACCTGTGAAGGCTTTTTAAAGCATTGCCTATGGAGATTTTTAGGTAATGTACTTTGTTGCCAATTCAAGGGTTTGCAAATTTAAAATCTTGACATTTTTGGTGTCTATTCAGTCGGCTCAATCCCATCTTTTTTATTTTACCAAAAATCGAGTATTATATTGAATTGTGTGCATTAAAATGTATTTCAGTGTATTTATTTTTCCTGAAAATTTGTGTTGATAAATGGCTGTGCAACATAAAAAAAATTGCAGCAACCACCATTTTATTTTCCAGGACTTCTGCTTTCAGAAAATAAAAAATGTAATTTTCTAACAAAAAAAGTTTGAATTTTCAGAAGTGCCACTGATTAGCTAGGTTATGTTTTTTTGTTGTCATAAAAATTGAGCCAAAGTTTACAGTTTTTTTTATTCTTTTGTTTTGTGCACTATGCTTAGAGGAAGCAGCACGGTTACGTGAAGACACAATTGTTGTCAGCATGAAGAAGCAAGAACTAGAGCAGGCCATTTCTCGAACGAAACACCTTGAGGTAGCTGGCTTTTAAACATTTGCTCTAGAAATGTCAAAAAATGTAATAGGCTATTAGTTATTTTTAAATGCAGTAAGTACAAAGGGAATAAAAAGTATGTGCAATTATTGTGCTGTATATTGCCTGAGGCTACCATGATGCTTTTTTCTGATCAAGCTTTGAAACAAAAGCAACTGCCTGGACAGTGATTTATGGAATTACCTTTAGCTTGTAATCTCCATGAAAAGGGTCCTTCTATTCCTTCTGTATTTGATTGGATTGTAATTGTACTGTCTCCCTTTATATTGTAAATCGCTGTGCGAAACTGTAGGCACTATACACTCACCGACCACTTTATTAGGTACACCTGTTCAATTGCTTGGGAACACAAATTTCTAATCAGCCAATCACATGGCAGCAACTCAATGCATTTAGGGATCTAGACATGGTGAAGATGACTTGCTGAAGTTCAAACTGATCATCAGAATGGGGAAGAAAGGGGATTTAAGTGACTTTGAATGTGGCATGGTTGTTGGTGCCAGACGGGCTGGTCTGAGTATTTTAAAACTGCTGATCTAACCATCTCTAGGGTTTACAGAGAATGGTCCAAAAAAAAAAAAAAAATATCCAGTTAGTTGCAGTTGTGTGGATGAAAATGTCTTGTTAATGTCAGAGGTCAGAGGAGAATGGGCAGACTGGTTGCTGCGACAGATGGTAGGGTGAGAATTTGGTGTAAACAACATGACAGCATGGATCCATCCTGTCTTGTATCAACGGTTCAGGCTGGTGGTGATGATGTAATGGTGTGGGGGATATTTTCTTGGCACCAGCACGGTGTACTTAATAAAGTGGCCAGTGAGTGTATAAATCCTTTATCTATCTATCTTATCCATTCAGTCATATCCGACCCTTGGCGATTGCATGGACCGTCACTCGTAAGCGACTTTTTCCATGAATTCTCTTAGCAATTGTTTTACAGGGTAGGTTGCCAGGTCTTTCCCTACCCCTACCATGCAGGAGATCCCACGTGGCCAAGGATGAAACTAGGACAATTTAGACAGGAGCCAATTAACCTACCAGCATGTCTTTGGAGTGTGGGAGGAAACTGGAGTACTCGAAGGAAACCCACGAGAACATGCAAACTCCATGCAGTAGGCACCATGGTTGGGAATTGAACCCATGAAATCCTGTATAATGATGATGATAATAATAATAATAAAGTTATCATATTACAAAAGCCAACATCATGAAAACACCAGGTTTTCCTTTATGTTGAACTCCAGGTAGATATTACATGACAAAGTAACACAGTGCTCTAATCATTAACACATTAATGCATTTTTTTTTAAATACAAGCAGTGTAAGTACTTGAATTTGACCTGGTATCAGCTTCTTTCAGTCAATGTGCATTACGGCTGTAGTGTAAGGGGAAAGTAGCAGCACAAGCAGCAAATCAGTTCATATGCTGACAAGAAGTATACTGATAGGTGGAGAGAGCAGAGTGACAGAGAGATGAGCTCATCACTGTATTGCTTCTCATTTCACTGTCCAGTCACAGACTGGGGCAGGTCCAGGACAACCTGGGCACAGAAGAAATGGGTTGATTGATTTAGGCCATCAGACTTGAGGAAAATAGCTCCAGAAATAAATACTACAGAAATAATCTCTAGTTTAAAGCAGAATATTGCCACAAAATCTGATTTTGTTGTTTCAACTTTTTAATGGCCTGTTCATTTTTATGTTATTTTTGGCTGCTTTTTTTGCTATACTACGATACTTTTTGGGGATTTTTTGTTCAGACTGTAATACTTTACAACTCAACAATTCTGATCAGTACACCATGTAATATCAAACATTAAAAATTCAGTAGAGTAGAGGAAATAGATTAAGAGAATTATTCAGTGTTTTCTAACATGGGACAGTAGTATCTCACTGTTATACAATGTCTGTGACCAGTTCTAAGATGTGCATATGTTTGCGGAGAAATGTATTCTAAAGCTAACCTATTTGGGCAGGGCTCACAAATCTAAAGCTGGCCATAGATGGGTAGAATTACCAACGACCCTTCTTAGAAAAAGAATGTTCTAAGAAAATGTGTTAATTTTTCTAATCATTAGTAGAGTCAAATTGATGTTCATTTTCGACCGCAGGGACAAGAAAATTCAAAGGAACAGAAACTTTTTCTTGACTGAATTTCTAACAGGCTATGTGGTTTTCGTTCTGTAAAATCCATCCATTCCAAAATTAAATGTTAAGATCAAACAAGATGTGTCGAATGATATTAAAATTTTCTGAGAATTTTCTTATTAAGTGTCCTAAAACTTTTCCTTAGAATGTTTGTTTGAAATGCTACCTATCTATGTCCAGCACCAGAAGTGTTGCAAATCTGCTGAACTATAACTATTTGCACTGAACCTGACACATTTTGTCATCTTACTTCACCTCCTTTTAAAGTAAACCTATTCTACAAATAAAGTTTAAAATTGACTCATTGCTTTATATATAGTAGTTTGCAGTTTTCCCATTGGTTATTCTTCTTAAAGATGGAAGTGGACACTTTGAGAGCTCAGCTGTCAACAGTTACCCGTCAAAACCACCATGTGACTGACAAGTTGAAGGAATTTGCTGACTACCCTCTGGTGCAGGAGGAAAAAGTGGAGCTTCTGGCACAAGTCAAGTTACTTAAACAGCAACTGGAAGATCTGCAAAAAGAAAATCACATACTGAGAGAAAGTAAGTTTACACTGTATACTAATATGTAGTACTATTTACCCGTTTCCCCGCTGCCCTATAGCAGAAATACTGCTACAGGGCGGCAGGGCTGCACAAAATTACGTGTATATATGCGTGATTTTGCATTTCCGGGTAGGGGGCGCACACGCCGCCCTACCAACGCTGGCATTGGCGGCTAGAGATGTCGATCACCAGGTCCCGGACGGAGATTCCCTGCCGACGATCGCCGAGAAACAGTGACAGGGGAGAGACCTGTGTGTAAACAACACCGGTGTCTCTCCTGCCAGCAATAACATGCTGCTGTGCATTTCCCTAGTAAAACACACAGCACATACAGTAAAACAGCACACAGTTAACCCTTTGATCACCCCAGATGTTAACACTTTCCTGCCCAGTGTCCTTAGTACAGTGTCAGTGCTTTTTATTAGCACTGATCACTGTATTAGTGTCATTGGGATGTCTTTGGCAGTTAGTTCCCACCCAATGTCAGAATGCCCGCCACAGTCCCACTATAAAACGCTGATTGCCGCCATTACTAAAATAAATAAAAATATAATAAAAATATAATATAACTAATAAAAATAAAAATTCAAGTGTATATATACTGCCATTTGTAGACACTATAACTTTCATGTAAACCAATTAACATGTATTGGGATTTGTTTTTAGCAAAGACATGTAGCAGAATACATTTTGGCCTAAATTTATCACAAAATTTGATTTTTTTTTTTTTTACTGGATATGTTTTATAGCAAAAAAAGTAAAAAATATAGTTTTTTTTTTTTGTTTCAAAATTGTCGGCCTTTTTTTGTTGATAGAGCAGCAAAAAATAAAAACCACACAGGTGATCAAATACCACCGAAATGGCTACTCTTAAGAGCTGTAATTTCCTAAATTCTTTCTCCAATTTGGATGTACATACCCTCAAATGAAACCTGAGAGTGTGCACTTTCAGCCCATATCCATTATATAATTATAGCTTTAATATGTTTTAGTAAATACCTGAAAATAACTAAAAGTGTGTGTGTGTGTGTGTGTGTGTGTGTGTGTGTGTGTGTGTGTGTGTGTGTGTGTGTGTGTGTGTGTGTGTGTGTGTGTGTGTGTGTGTGTGTGTGTGTGTGTGTGTGTGTGTGTGTGTGCGCGCGCGCTGATAATGCGCATATATATATATATAATGTTAAAGGAAACCACCACTATAAACTGCATATTCACTACATTCAGTAAATAGTTACCATGCAATTAGATTGATTGGAAATCCACCGCCGAAACTATTACCCAAATAATTACAAATATCTAAAAGGTGAAAAACAATACATTTACAATACATTCAAGGACATCTGTCAATGGGGACAAAATCAATAATTTCTATCCAATCCTCATCATTCCAGTACTATATCACTTTTCAAAGTCGATCTCGTCTATCATTATTCTAATCTCAACCTCATATTCTGTAACCGCATGTTGCATAAATGTGAGACTTTCCAGGAAAAAAAAAAAAAGGGGGGGGGGGGGGGAGCGTCCAAGAAGACACAGCATTATTATAGAATGTAAAATGGGGCAAAACTTAAGCTGTCATTGAAGCCAGGTGGTTTAATCGCCTCAAACTTCCAAATCCACCTGGTCTCCTGTTACAGAAGGACCTGGTCATAATTGCCCCCCCCCCCCAGAGAATTACAGGGTACCACCTCAACTACCCAGCATTTTAGTCAGGATGGATCTCTATTATGCTCAAGACACACATGCCGAGCAATAGGGACCTTCACCGATGATGACCACCTTCTTCCAAATCCACCTGGCCTCCTGTTGCAGAAGGACCTGGTCATAATTGCCCCCCCCCCCCCTCAGAGAATTCCAGGGTACCACCTCAACTACCCAGCATTTTAGGCAGGATGGATCTCTATTATGCTCAAGACGTGCATGCCGAGCAATGGGGACCTTCACCGATGACGACCACCTTTCTTCCCCCTTCCTCCCAAAAACAACCAAGTCTCCCACTCTCCAAGATAGATATTAGTATAAGCTGGGGCACACTTAGTGCCCATAGTGGTGCCTTGGGCCTGGCAATAGTACTTGCCATTAAATTGAAATTTGCTGGGAGTGAGCAAAAATCTAAGGAGTTTTACCACAAAATCACTATGTCCATATTTACCGTACTTATATCTCTACTTCATAATACCCTACATATAACTTGTAAATCCTTGTCATGGGGTATTGAATATAATGCCACTATATCCAAAGCAAGTAGTATAGTATTAGAGGGCAAAGTCAAGTCATGTATCAATGTGAGAAGATGTAACACATCCCTCACATGTGAGAATTGGTTAATGACAAACTGTTGCAAAAATGTACTCACTTGCTAATTCAGTGAGTGATCCATTCCCAGAGATTATTGGTCTTCCGGGAGGGTCAGTCACTGATTTGTGTACCTTTTGGCAAGGCGTAGAACACCGGAATCCTAGGGTGCCTGTACTGGGCTGAGCAGAGATTTTTATTTAAATTAAAGGAGCTATATGTGAGAAAATCCAGAACTTGGTGAAATGTATATTACTTTAAGAAATATGTTGATGAACAGATTTATCCAAAAGGCCTGGAAATTCTGATCTTCCTAGAATCAGGGAAGTCAATCCAGATTTTAGGAAGAGATGGGAGGAGAATCTGCAGCAGTGCACCAGGAACATGGTTGTCCTGTTAGTGGATTTTTATGAATCACAGATGATGGATTTCAAAAGTGATCTACAAGAAATTCTGAATTCTGTCACCCCTTACAGACTTCCTTATTGATGTCACTATTATTGGAGAGAAATTATAGAATAAAATGTATACCTGTTTACCTAAAGTAATGCTAGTTTTAAAATGACCATTAATCAAACTAGGAAGAGAGTGCATTTTCTTTTCATCATTAAAGAAGCGGTTGTAAAGGCTTACTTTTTTTTTTTTTCAAAATAACACATGGCATACTTGCCTGCTCTGTGCAGGGAGCACCCCGATCCTCCTCTTTTGGGCTCCCTCGGCAGCTCTCTCGGCTCCTCCTCTTCTGTATTCTCCACCATAGGAAGCTGGCTGCTATTGGGTGCACGTGCAGGCTTGCTCCAAATCCAGGCTGTGTGTGTCCATAGACAAAGTCTTGTTTGCTCCACCAAAAAGTGTTTTGTTTTTTCTTATTTGCTGACTCGATAGGCCAAGAGCAAAAATGTATGTGTTGTTGTGGCCTCTAAGTGATATATAGGTGCAATAATGCAAAGGTTACGAAAATTTTAAAGCTGTGCATGCATAGATCGTTTTAGATGTTGGAAAGCATTAATCACCCAGACAAATGTACTGTATGTAAAACTTATACTTTCCAGAGTCATCACACCCATCAGCGGAATTCCTGTCTCTTCAAGAGGACCTGAAAAGAATGGAGGCTGCTCGAAAGTTTGACCAAGATGAATTTAAAATACAAAGAGAAATCCTTGAAAGACAGCTAGAACTAGAGGTAAGCTTACAGACAACACTTGGATACACAATGTTGCAACTTGCTGGCAATAGTTATAATGTTCCACAATATGGGTTGACCTAGCTGTCTGGAAATGTCCAGTTGCTATAAAAGCATTTAATTTACAGAATTCTACTTGATGAATACACTAGCAAATATTCTGCATTTCTGTGTCTTGAATCAAACTCTAACTATATAACTAACTTTATGAGATTTCTTTACATCAACCCAAAAACATGAGACTTCTGCTGAATTTGAAGCTGAACTCCCTTGGATTACATAGTCCCTAAAGCTGAACTCCAGGCACAATTTTGGTTCATTTTCTGTGCAAAAAAAAAAAAATTACCTCTATTGATGCCTGTCCCACATTTGGCTGCTGCTCAGCCTCCACAAAATTGTAAGTGCCGAATGTCTAGCATTGAGACGATTAGTTCAGGCAGTAGTTCACTGATCATCCCTCACTATAATGATACTCCATTCATAAAAAGCCTTGTATTCCTTTTACTGAATGCAAGGCTTTCTGAGTTTGGAGCAGGTGTGGATGAATGCCGCGATCACCGCTAAGCCAATCACAAAAAGCCTTGTATTCAGTGAAAAGAATACAAGGCTTTTTCTGAATGGGGGATGTGTACAACAAGCAGCCTGCTATGATCAGTCTACTACCGCAGAGAACTGCAAGTTTCAGTGTTTAACGTTTTGGCGTTAACAGCATTGTGAGGGTGGAATGAAAGTAACAGTACTACCAAACGAAGCAGCAACCAAGTCTGGGACAGGCATCAAGAGAGGTTATTTTATTTCCACACAGCAAATGGCCCCAAATTCAGCTTTAAAAAATAAGTAATTGCATTTTTACATACGACTGGCATACGTATGTGACTGAGTCTACTTAATAGCCTTCTGTAACTGCAATATGGTTTTTACTGGTTGTACTGTCTGTCAGGGGTACCTGGATTCGTCAAAATGACAGAAAATAATTTTTATTCCTTTAGCAGTTTGACAGTTCACAACAGGGTTTCTCAACCAGGGTTCTTCCAGAGGTTACTAGGGGTTCCTTGAGCGATTTCTGTCTCTCAGATAAGTTTCCACTGACAAAGTTGAACGTTTTAGCTCTCTATAAGGGGTTGCTTCTTCCCAATGACTACAAGTGTAAGGAGAATTCTTCTGACTATCACACAGTTATTTCAAGGGTTCCTCTGTGTTGAAAAGGTTGAGAGAGGCTGGTTTACATACATACATTTTAATTGTGTACATTTACCTGGCGTTCAGCTTTAATAAAATATAAGGCAAAACTTCTTTTTCTTTTTTTTCTGTTTTAGTTTTGAATGGAGCAGAGATGTATTGGAACACGTATAAGGCTTTTATTGCTCTCTGTGCCCCTGTTAGGGGGTCCCCAAGGAATTCCCTGATTTGCAGGGATCATTCCTCACTGCCTGTTTTGGCTATGAGAAAGGAAGCGAAGATAAATCTCCCCAGTGGGACACAGATGGTAACACATCAATTGACGGGTTATAAATCTGCCTTACTCTTTCCTAAATTAAAAAAAAAAGTTTTACCTATAGTTCTACTATAATTTCTAGGTTACATATTTCATCTCCTTTCCTATCCTCAGTTGACATTCATTTTGAAAAGATGAGCACATGGCATAAAACAATTTACTAGTCTTCTCACCTAATGCAACAACTCTTGATATTTTGCAGATGGAACGTGGTCTTGAAATGAAGATGCAGCTATTAAATCGTGAGGAATCTTTGAAAAGGTTAAATGTGCAAGTAGAGCAACTGGATTTTCAACTGCGGCAGACTCAACAAGGTTTGACTTATTTCCTATACAAAAGAAATAGCAGGCACATAGTGGTACAGTCCATGTGGTGATAATTAAATGGATAAAATTCCAGATAAGACAAGGGCAATCCAGTAAGCACTCGGGCAGGCTGTGATGGAGTGAAACAGACTCTGGTGTAGAAGAATAAAAGCAAAGGACACAGCGCCTCTAGTGTAGACTGTATAATAATTTTAATAAAAGGTGAGTATAACAACTCACATCTTAGTGTAATAAAACAGGCTCATAGGGATGAAAGCGGTATGTCTGTTGCCAGATGTAAAGACTGTTCTGGAGCAGAGGAACCCGGCCGGTCAGCAAGAGGCGCTGCAACAGGTAAGGCATGGACGGTAAGGCCTGGCTGGGTCTTCCAGTATGTCCGGAGCTAGTGGTGTAGGGTGTCTGATGTCATCAGGCTGCGATGCGTTTCTGAGCATGCATGGGAACCAGCGTGGCCCAGTGCGTTCTTTCATCAGGCATAGGTGGAGCATAGGAACAGGAAGAGAAAGGGAGAGTCCTAAATAGAGCGACGGGGGATGATGGACAGAGCCAGGGGTGGGGAGACTAAAAAGTGACAGGATAGCGGAGCGATGTCTGTCTAAGGGGCATGGTGATCCAATAATAACATCACAGTGACACTATATAAAATCAAGATAAAACGACAACAAATATTGGAATAACAACAAAGGATCATCATAATGCACAAAAATGTAAACAGTGATAAACATGACAATGATGAAAAACGATTCATAAGGGGAAAAAGGAAGAGGGGGAGGGGACATATATATATGCATATATATGGAATAGTCTCCTGTGCACAAAGAATATAGATTTAAAAATATATATAAAAAACTAATATGATTTAATATAGGACTAAAAAAGGGGGGGGAAGCCCTACATATTGGTGGCTGTATAAGAGAACCTGCAGACATATGAAGTAGAATAAATAAGCAAATGTTGACATAAAAATATATGATGATTATGAGGTGATTACATATTACCAGGTGTGGAGATGTAATGGTACATTGATGAATATAAGACAATAAAGTTTATATACATGCACCGTAATTATATGGAGATGCAAGTAAGTGTATGTATATAAATGAATCCAAGGACACCAATACCATTCACAAGCATGTGTGACTATGAAGCCTAGAGTGGTCAGTGCAAATGTATATAGTGTATTATCTATCCATCATAGTGCTTGCTAAGGAACACATCCGCCCTGAGGTATTGGGGTATAGAGTACCCCAAGGAGGTGGTAATTATGCAATGAATATTATCTTGAGGTGTGATTATATAATGGTGGCAATCTCCAGCTCCTCATTAAGGCCAGCTGGGACAGGGTGTCAAGGGCATGTATCCAGAATGTTTCCCTGTGGCATAGCCTGTGAAAGTGCTCCGCCTCAGGGAGATCGTGGGGCATAATCTCGACAACCCAGACCTGAAGTCCAGCAGTGGATTTGTTGTGGGTGTCCAGAAAGTTTCAGGGGACACTGTGCTCACCCCCTTTGATTAGGTGACGGTGTTCGCCAAACCTGTAGCGAAGGGTGCGTATAGTGCGACCTACATAAAGGAGGCCGCAAGGGCACCTCAGGCAGTAGATAACAAAAATGGATGAGCAATTATGAAATTCTGTGAATTTCTGGTATTTTCCTTTATGGTGGAAACCCTTTAGGCCATGTTGGACAAAGGGGCATGTTTTTCAGCGAACCTTACGGCACTGATACATGCCTATAATAGGAGTGGAGAATAGAGGGTACAGTGTTGGGCTGGACAGATATTAATTTACTAGGGGCTACTTTATTCTTTAGATTGGGAGCTTTTTTATAGGTGATGATAGGTTTGGGAGGAATGATATCCCTCAGGTGCGGGTCTTGTAGAAGGATATTCCAATGTTTCCTTAAAATGTTATTAATTTTTTGATGTTTCCCATGGAATCTAGTGGTGAATCTTACTGCATTGTCAGGGTCCTCTAAAGGTCTATTGCTATTGGGTTTGTCAGATAGGTGTAAGCTTCTTCTACACGTTTATCGGGATATCCTTTTTCTGCAAATTTTTTATTTAGGGTGAGAATTAGTCCCTTGTAGTCAGCTAATTTTGTGCAGTTTTGACCGGGTTCTTGTTCTCCAGAGCAGTCTCCTGCTGACTGGCCAGGTTCCTCTGCTCCAGAACAGTTTACATCTGGCGACAGACGTACCGCATTCATCCCTATGAGCCTGTTTTATTACACTAAGATGTGAGTTGTTATACTTACCTTTTATTAAAATTATTACAGTCTATTAGAGGCGCTGTGTCCTTTGCTTTTGACTTATTTCCTAAAACCCCAACAAATAAATTTTGCTATTTGTATATTTATTTCTATGGACAGCTTCATAATAAACCTCCTGCTATTTTATTTTAGCCTAAATTAGTTCTAACTATAGATTGCATGTAATGAGCAAATATGATTCGCAAAGTTCTGGCTGTCGGTTTCAGAATATTAGAATATTCAATACTACCCATTTGCTTGTTTCTAGTTTTCTGCTTTGAGTCTACTTTTGAAATTATGCATTTAACTTTAACTTTTCTTTTTTCTTTTTTTTTCTTTTTTACTTTTTTTTTATTTTTCAGTCAATCAATTTTACTTGGGTTATGCAGAGATTACATAGTGTGTGGAGTACTTTCAAACAAACTGTTTTTTAAAACAGCAGTTTACTTTAACTGCACTTTCATGAGAATTCTATGTAGTGGTAAATGGTCATTTTTTACAAAATGTATTGTGGTGCTCTATGTACCAGCTATGAGTCTGTACACTGCTGTGCCTGATAATCATTTTCACCTAATACATTGATCTCTGTATTCCTCTTCTGCAATCTATTTAATTTTCTGTTCTGTGTGTGCTTCTCTTGCTTGTGCAGCTCTTGAAAACGGTTATAGTCTTCCCAAGGCAGCTCTGGCCGATCGCTGTGTACTAGATTTTTATGCCAATAAACATACTCATCCTGACACTTACGTTGATCAGCCATCCTTGAGAAGCCAGCGTTATCTGGATTCTGTTGTTCATGCAGGTGGCATTGCAAGTCAGAAGCATCGCCACCTTGAAGGGACTCGAAGCAGCTCTCCGGATTCAGACCTGGAGTTTGTGGCCAACACCAGAACTCGAATTAAAGAACTTGAAAAGGAGGCAGAACTGGTCGAAGAAGCTTTCCGTAATTATCAACACCGAGTCATTCATGCTGCTGCTATTCCAAGCTACCAACAGGCAGCAGCTCTGCCAAGCAGAGGACTTTTAAACACAGTGCCAAATACCCCCCAGCACAGAGTTACTTTTTTAGAAGATAATCTTACGCCTCAGGACCATATTCTCTTAAATAGGATAAAGACGCAAAAATATGAAAGACTACTGCCAACTGAAGTAAAAATGGCTGCACCACAGGCAAAAAAGTCCTCTTCTCGCAGGCTGTCTTCAACCCCTGTGTCAAGAACAGAAATAACTCACAAAGAGAGCGTTTCTTTGGAAGGTAATATATTGGATTTTGATAGTGCTAACATTCCTTAGTATAGAGGAAAAATTGATTAAGATTTTAGAAGATGGAAAGGGTACTGTAATTTACTGCTGTTCTATTGTGGGGCACATAGAACATGTTACTATTCTGTGTGCCTATACCCAGTATCTAATTTGGTTGGCTTTGTATACTACTATTCATTTTACAGGTCATAACAATAGCAGCTGTTTTCTTCCACACATTACAGATAATGATGGCTCCTACATCACATCTTCTCACCATAGTCAAAATCGTAGACTTTCCCCCATTCAAAAAATTGAGCAGCCTCAAACCCTTCTCTCTGACGTTGTGGATCATGGCGTGAAAGATGAAGCTGAGCCGACTCCCAGGTAGAGAAAAAAAACAAAAAACAAAAAAGTCAACTAATACAAATTTTGATTATCATTGATTACTTCTGCCGACAATAACACATTAGCAATAAACATGAGATGATTGTTATCCAATATTGGACTGATCAGATCACAATCTGATGTCTGTGGGGCAGTAAGAGATATCCCTGGTTGAACAATCTTGTTGGCTGAAGATTATTCAGTCCAATTGCTTGTTTTACATAGATCACCACCAGATGTCTGGTAACAGCAGTAACCTGTATGTTTAGTTGTCCAAAAGGTACCCATAATCTTGACAACATATATCAGCAAGTCGAATAATGCCCGTGTACCCTACAGTCCTCTCGAGCCTCATTCCCTTAAAGTAGAACTAAAGGCAAAACTTTATTTTTTTAATTTTAGATAGCGTATAACCCCTTTAATTTTTTTGACGTTTGTGACCCATTATGGAGATTTCCCCTCATATCTTGTCTCATAGCTAAAACAGGAGGCAAGAGGAAATCTCTCTAAAGCGAGGGAATGCCCAGTAGTCACCAGGGTCACTGGAACTAGCGTCCCCATTGAAATATTTCCCCTTTTTTTACTGTTCTGGTGACAATCCAAAATTTGGGGTTTTCTTTGTTTTTCACTTTTGCCAATAATAATAATAAGACAAATAGCGTGAGTTTCCCTAATGGGGGGCAGAGAAATAGATAGCTGTTCTAATCTCTCTCTACTTTATCCAAAACTTAAAAAAAAAAAAGATTTTGCCTTTTAGTTATACTTTAAGATCTGCTGTGTAGATTTGGTCCTATGACATATAAGAATGAGTGATATAATACCCAACATTGACCTCGGTGTACCAAAAATATAGTAAAAGTGTAGGTGATAATTATTAATTGATGGGTAAATAAAATGTATTTGAAAATTAGATGTAGAGGAAATAGGGGTGAAATTCTAATTATAGATCCTAGTTATAATGCAAACATCTGATTTGCTGCCTTGGGAAATACAGTACTTCTACTTTCCTCTTGCTGGCAATTCATTTCTTTGCATTATGGCATCTCTGTGCTGATTTTTATTGCTTTTGTAAAGGTTTCTAGTAATACATTTCTCCAGCTATGTGATCATTCAAGCAGAGCCAGCAGATGTCAGTGTTGAAGGTTCATTTAAGCAGCAACAGGAAGCAGAACTGCGAAAATGAGTTGCAATTCTTACTTCACGATTTTAGAGATCACAATATTCTTCATCGTAAGCATTTAAAACTCCTGCACTGCTAAATCTACTTTCTGTGCCTTGCACCATTACATGTAAATATGCCCAGTGTTCCTCATAAATGAAAAACAGAAATGTACTTGGATTTAATAAGAGAGTCTGGTTGAACGTGTGCTTGATTTTCAGGAACCTGCTAATTGAATTGATCTTCCATGTTTTATTCTGGGTGTAGTGCAGTAATGCCTGTAGGCCTACCTTCATGCAGGAAAGTTTTAGTTTTGTTTGTTTGCTATGTAATGAACATTAGTGATCTAATCATGAATTAATTCCAGTCTTATTCATAGATGTCAGCTTTTTGTTGCAGACTGGAACGTTTGAGACAGGATCATTCTTACACTTACTGTATATACTATAATGGATACATACATAGATTATGAACCAGAGCACCTGGGTTATCCATGAATATTAAAGGATTCAGCCCAATCCATCTTTGGTATCCTTTGGTGTACTTCTTTAATAATTTTTTCTGTCTACAGTCCCCGCTTATGAAACAAGTATGCTGAATCCATACTAAAAGGCAGTCTAGTTAGTCTCTATGGGTAAATTAAATGCCTGACGCCTGTTATTGGACATTGTAGTTTAAAGAGAAATGATGTGCAGTAATTTATGGTAAGCAGGGAGACATCAGCTTCTGCATAATGCTAATAATGTTTTTTGATAGACTTCACTCTATTACTAAGTTGTTTTTCTTTAATAATAGTTATTGTTTATATTTATTATATACTGTATATATTATTATTCTAATACTTTGTCCAAATTTTATTTTACATTCTTAAATGGATTCTAAAGACTTATTTTTTTTTTTAAAGAAAAAATAACAAACATGTCTATACTTACCTGCTGTGCGCAGTGATTTTGCACAGAACAGCCCAGATCCTCTTCTTTTCGTGTCCCCCGCCTGCACTTCTGGCCCCTCCCTCCTGTCGGGTGCCTCCACAGCAAGCAGCTTGCTATGGGGCCTCAGGGCTCTGTGTGTCCATTCACACATGTTTGGCCCCGCCCCCTCTGTCTTCTCATTGGCTCACTGGCTGATGGTTGACAGCGGTGGAAGCCAATAGCTCCCACTTCTGTCTCAGCCATTGAGAAAAGGGAGTCCCAGGGTAGCCGAGACTCCAGTGCACATTGCTGGATCGAGAGGAGGCTTAGTTGAGTATTAGGGGGGCTGGGGGAGATGCTGCTCAGAGCAGGTTTTTTACCTTCATGCATATGCATGAAGGTAATAAACCTTGAGCCGCCATTAACAACCACTTTAGGTTAACCACTTCAAGTCCGGACGCTTTCACCCCCTTTCTGTCCAGGCCAATTTTCACCTTTCAGCGCTATCACACTTGACTTGAATGACAATTGCACGGTCATGCAACACTGTACCTATATGAATTTTTTTAGCATATTTTTGAGACAGATAAAGCTTTACTTTGGTGGTATTTATTCACCACTAGGATTTTTTTTTTTTTTTTTGCTATATAAATGAAAAAGTCCAAAAATTTTGAAAAAAAATTATAAAAATTATAAAATTTTGCAAATAAATAATATTTCATCATAAATCTTGGCCAAGTCTTCGCATGTCATTGAATATGACTATCCCTTTACGGATTTTAGAGAACGAATAACATTACATTCTAAACAGCCAGAGAAGTTAATGAGGACTTGTTTTATAGCTCTTTTACTGCTTGTTGAGAATATGTAAAAAGTTTTTAAAGTTGAGGTTTCATCTGCTTTTTGCTTTCCCTGGTTCCTACTTCCCACCCACACCCCTATCAACATATTATTGACATATTTAAATAAAACCTTTCTGATTTCATTACATATCTGATTTTAGACCCAGTGATGTCATCATTTGGTCTCTGTGCTCCTCCCATGCAATGTAGAAAAACATTTTTTTTCTCTCCCTGGTTTGTGTTTTTATTGCCACTAGTGCTGGCGAGCCAACTGTTGGAAGTTTGAACTCAACGGACCATTCGAAGCCTGCAACACTGCACTCTCGGGACTTAAACTTTTCAGAATCATCATTACAAGGTAAGAGTCCCTTTAGAGGGCAGGAAAATAATACAGGACTACAGTGTATGGGGAAAAAAAAAACTTTTTATTGCATCTCTGCACTTGTGAGTTGTGCATCACCAACAAACATTTATTACATTGTAGCAATTGTACAATTCTTACAAGCGCATGTGATTCAGACCTGTTCAAATCACATGCAGTTCTTTGCAGTGCAGTTTGAGCCCATTCATGTTCTGTGGGCTCAGATCACACCGCACCTGCATGGAAAAGGTGCAGGCAACGGTTTTTCTTTTTTTTGCTGCACTGGAATCTGATCTAATGGGTGTTCACACCCATGCGATCCGATTCAGGCAATTGTATTGTGTTTTGCGACCTGTTTTTGTGTTATTAACTTAACATTGACACCTACAGCAGATCGCATGAACACAGTGCAATTTGGATGCAGTGTGGGAAACGCACAGGATTCGCTGCATTTCCTGCACCACATATACACTATATTGCCAAAAGTATTGGGACGCCTGGCTTTACACGCACATGAACTTTAATAGCATCCCAGTCTTAGTCCATAGGATTCAATATTGAGTTGGCCCACCTTTTGCAGCTATAACAGCTTCAACTTTTCTAGGAAGGCTGTCCACAAGGTTTAGGAGTGTGTCTATGGGAATGTTTGACCATTCTTCCAGAAGTGCATTTGTGAGGTCAGGCACTGATGTTGAACGAGAAGGCCTGGCTTGCAGTCTCCACTCTAATTCATCCCAAAGGTGTTCTGTCGGGTTGAGTTGAGGACTTTGTGCAGGCCAGTCAAGTTCTTTCACTCCAAACTCGCTCATCCATGTCTTTATGGACCTTGCTTTGTGCACTGATGTGCAGTTATGTTGGAACAAGAATGGGCTATCCCCAAACTGTTCCCACAAAGGTGGGAGCATGAAATTGTCCAAAATGTCTTGGTATGTTAATGCCTTAAGAGTTCCCTTCACTGGAACTAAGGGGCCAAGCCCAGCCCGTGAAAAAGAACCCCACACCATAATCCCCCCTCCACCAAACTTTACTCTTGGCATAATGCAGTCAGGCAAGTACCGTTCTCCTGGCAAACGTCACACCCAGGCATGTCCATTGGATTGCCAGACAGAGAAGCATGATTCATCACTCCAGAGAACACATCTCCGCTGCTCTAGAGTCCAGTGGTGACGTGCTTTACACCACTGCATCCAACGCTTTGCCTTGCACTTGGTAATGTAAGGCTTGGATGCAGCTGCTTGGCCATGGAAACCCATTCCATGAAGCTCTCTACACGCTGTTGTTGTGATAATCTGAAGGCCACACAAAGTTTGGAGGTCTTTAGCTATTGACTCTGCAGACAGTTGGCTACTTCTGCACACTGTGCACTTCAGCATGCACTGACCCTGCTCTGTCATTTTACGTGGCCTTCCACTTCATGGCTCAGTTGCTGTTGTTCCCAGTTGCTTCCACTTTGTTATAATACCACTAACAGCTGATCGTGGAATATTTAGTAGCAAGGAAATTTCACGGATGGACTTATTGCACAGCTGGCAACCTATCACAGTACCACGCTTGATTTCACTGAACTCCTGAGAGCGACTCATTCTTTCACAAATGTTTGTAGAAGCCGTCTGCATGCCTAGGTACTTGATTTTATACATCTGTGGCCATGGAGGTGATTGGAACACCTGAATCCAATGATTTGGAGGGGTGTCCCAATACTTTTGACAATATAGTGTTTGTGAACTTAGGCTCAAAGTAAGTGGGGGGAAAAAATAACAGATTTACTGACCAGATCACCAGGTGATAAAAAAAAAATCTAAGGATTGGTAGGCTGCAATAGAATACATTTTTGCTTTTGTGTTTGATACTGGTTTAAGTAGGAAGACAAACCTTCCTTTGTTACTAGAATGAACAGTCTAAGGCAAGGGGTTGCTTGTAATTTTAATGTGAGAGACTTGCTTGAGTGGTAACTCCACTTCTGTGGAGAAAAAAATAGCAAATGAGTAAAAAAAAAGAAATAAAAATTACCTTTCCTTTTCCAGCCCTGTAATTTTCTGTCAAATACAATCCAATATGGCTACCTTGAGGTGTTCTGTACACAGATGTTTTATTATATGTAGACTTCATTTTCCTATAATTTAACTGGCAAATCTAATTTTTATGACTTGCGCTAAATAAACTTACTATAGCAAGATTAAAATCCATATTGTTCTAATTGAAATCACTTTCATTTTTTATTAAAGCTGTAACTGCTTCCCGTGGCTTTTGCCAACGATGAACTTTCCTGTATAAAGGAGAGAACTATCCAGAAATAGTGAAACTATCCTGTAGAGAGCAGCAGAGGTCTCTTCTTGTCAGTGGAGTTTGATGATATCCAGGACCACTGGACTGTATCAGCACATCACTAATGTTTTATGTCAATGACCACAAAGTGTTCTTTTAGTACAAGGGAATGTTTTCACAATCTAATGTCCCAGAGGACAATAAACAACAATAACACAATCCTCCAAACTGAATCAGCTCCACATAATAAATGTGATTGTTTTGGAGACGCAGAACTGTCTGTAAACAGTACATTGCATAGCAATTCGACCAAAGTCAAACCTTGGAAAGGATCGGTAAAATGTAATAACTTTGTAGGACAGAGTACAAAAACATATGGAAATCCTGGGTCAAATTTAAGATGTTAAATTTAGATTTGAAAATTCTAAATTACCATATCCCAAGAAGATGATCCTCTCATTCAAGAGAAATATTAATTGTTTATTGGATGCCTTAGGCGTTCTGCTTTTGTCCAAATAGGGATTAGACCTATTCAAGTATCCATTGGTATTAAAGCATCGGCAAAGCGAAACAAAAATGAGAAGGGCACGAACCTTGCGCATTACCTCAGTAATCAAAATTTATTGAATACAAAATGATACTCACAAACCGCGAAGTAAATCAAGCATGTAAGTCCTCAAAGGAACTTGAAAGTTAGGAAGCCTGCGCGAGTCCCATCACAGGGGTAGACACTCAGAGTACAGCTGACGCGTTTCGAAGGGCAGCCCTTCTTCATCAGAGCTAACTGAACTATGAATGCTCACTCCCATATATACCCAAGGACTAAAGTTAGACCCTCCCTTCTGGGTTGGGCAGTCTCATGCTGGGAGGAGGGGCCAAGGTGTCATCCGAATAAATAAACAATATATATTTGTGATGCCATCATAAAAGTATAATACATTTTAAAGCAATTGAGCTTTAAAATGTGTTATACTTTTATGATGGCATCACAAATATATATTTTATTTATTCAAAGTTCCTTTGAGGACTTACAGCGATGACTCGCTGTTTGTGAGTATCATTTTGTATTCAATACATTTTGGTTACTGAGGTAATGCACAAGGTTGGTGCGCTTCTCGTTTTTGTTGTACTTTGCAGTATTGGTCAGGCTTCCTCAGCCTTGTTTGGAGCTGCACAACCCTATATGCACTGGTGGTCGAATCTTCCAGTTCTGGTTCCATCTATTCGCCATCCACCTTGGTCTCAGAGCGCAGGAGAGTTTGTTTCTGGTTTATTAAAGCATCGGCTTCAGTCTGATTAGGATGGAGTTAAAAACAGAAAGAGAATGGTTTGTTATACAGTAGTTCGAAAAGATGTTTGTACTGCTGCAGTGCTTGCTGGATATCTTCAAACAAGAGATTCGATTTTGCTTGTTTTTTAGAATTGCTCTTGAGTATTATTAAAAAAGTTTGACAGTTGTTTCATATCCATGCCCCCCCAACCATCAAGACATCCACCCGCATATGACATGCTAGAAAAATTCCATATAAATTTACAAAATCCCCATCTCAAAATATCACCCAAACCATCCACTCTGCATTACCCAAGATCTCCTGCTCTCCAGCTCCCATGTCTCTGGAACTTCTTTCCCCAATCTGCTCAGCTATCTTCTACACTGACCACCTTTAGGTGATCCATCTAAACTCATCTTTTTCGGAAACCTATCCTCTCACCACCTAAAAACTGCACTTTTGTCTTCTCCATCAGTGCATCCCTCCACAGTTATTACCTTTTGTATCACTTGTCCCTCCCTTTTAGCATTGTAAGCTCTCACAGGCAGGAGCCTCCTAATCCTCTTGTATTAAGTTATATTGTATCTGTATGGTCTCCCTTTATATTGTAAAGTGCTGCATAAACTCTTAGCACTATATAAATTCTGTATTATAATAATAGTACAAAAATAAGTCATTATATTTTCAAAACCGTGATAAATATTTGTGCTCTGTACACAGGCTGATTTTTTGCAAAAGTCTCCTGTACAGTGTATAGATATTTTTACTAAAAATGTTCATATTTGTATATTTTCTTGTATGACAGTGTAACCAGTCAGGAGAGGAAATTACCCTGTGACTAATCCACTAATAGCATTAATACTTCCACTAGCGGTAATGATAGATTTTATGATTTTTCTATGATTATATGGAAGAATATTTGTCAATTACTTGGAGCCAAAGAAAAAAAAATTATAAATTACATTCATTATTCTTTGTCACTTGAATTTGCTTCAGCATCAGGCAAACCAATTACTACCCGCCCTATCACAGTATAGCCTATGGTTTGACCTATGTTGTCTTTGCGCTATTTTTTTTTTAATCCGTTATTACAATGCAAAACTACCCAGAAAACAGCATAGTTAAATGATTGAGAACTTTCATTATGCTTCTGCATTGTGCGCTTTCCATTGAATTTCTTGGTGGAGTAAGGATGAATTTCTATGCGGTTTTTCTTATGTGCCAGATACGTTCATTGTACTAACATATATTAAGCCGCTGCCAGCACACTGTTGGTAGAGCCCTGGCCAGTCTTCTCTCTGGGAATTTATTTCTCATTTCCATTGCTAAAAAGAAAAAGCCACGTTGAAGGAGTCATTTTTACAGTCCAAGTGCCGCGTCGTTCTAGGAAACATTTCAGCACTGGATATCTATAGGCAAAAGTATGTGTTAAACAATGTTTGGAAATCACTCTCCCTATCCATGATGGCTTGCTGACAGCAATGTTAATGAAGAGAGAGAAAACAGAATGAATCCATTTTTCTGCTTCTATAGAATTGATCCTAATGCTGCTTAGTGTGTGAACTCAGTCATTCCCAGACAGTTCTGCCAGGCTTTGAGCTAGAAGATAATGGGATCATTGTTTAACTGTCCCCCTCCTCTTTCCCGCAGACCAAGAGGACATACCAGAGCAGCTTGAAAGTGACTTGTCGCATCTATCTGAGGACTCTGTCCATGATATTCGTGTCACTGCAGATGTGCCAGTGGCAGATACTTCAGTACATGGCTCATGTAAGTTAGGACATTGTATTGCATTTTACTTTGCAAGTCTTGTGAAAAATAGTTTTTTGTTTTTTTTTACATCTGCAGTTTCCTCTAAAGTTGGTTGAACATGAGGCACTATTTTGCCAATGATCACTTGTCAGAGCAGTGGTGCAAAAACACATTTTAAAAAATACAGACCACCACAGGAGAGGCATCAACTCACTCTGCTTGCTACTTTGTGGAATTCCACCACTACTACATTGTCTACTCCTTTGATTAATATTGTAATAATAATAGTTAGGTGCTATTCCTTTAAATGGTTATACAAACTAAAAACACAAAAGTAATTTAAAACTTGATAGCAAAATACCAACCTCAATAAAGTGCTTAAAGTATAACTAAAAGCAAAACTAGAGAGGAGAAGGATTACAACCCCTGTCAGGTTTTTATTGCTGTCTTTGCCCCCATTAGGGAGATTCACCCTCTCTTTGTCCTACTTACCATTAATATTGAAAGTGATCTAAAGTTCGGGGTTTTTTGTTTTTAAATAACAAACGTTATACTTACCTGATCGGGTTTTGCACACAGCAGCTCTGATCCTCTTCTTCTTGGGTCCCCAGCCAGCGCTCCTGGCTCCTCCCCCTTGACCAGTGCCCCCAATAGCAAGCCGCTTGCTATGTGGGCACTAGTGCATGCTTGCTTCCAAGCCCCACTCAATGCATCCATAGAATACGTAGAGGCACATAAAAACCTTCAGAATAACAACCACTTGAAAATAAAAAAAAAATTCCACATTTTGGGTTGTCCTCTCAGAAAAGTAATAGAGGGGAAATCTTCCAATGGGGACACTAGTTCAAGTGATTTGGGGGCCCCAAGGGATTCCATTAATTTGCATGGATTTTCTCTCACTTCCTGTTTGGCTATGGGACAGGAAGTGAAGGGAAATCTCCGCAATGGGACACAAACAGTGAAAAAAATCTGATGGGTTATAATCCTCCCACACTTGCTGTATTCAAAATGAAAAAAAAAAGTTTTGCCTATAGTTCTACTTTAATTATGAGCATCCATAATTCATAAATGTGATAAAGTGCTTCTGCAGAAATTAACTAAAACACAAACTTCATATGAGTAAATTCCTAGAAGCAATGCAGTAAATCACTTCTGTAGATTCACTACCAACTTGACATCTACTTCAGTGCAACCAACAGCTAAGTGCAATAAAGGTAAAGTGCATGTGCAATAATTAAAGTTCAAAATTAAATTTCATGTGAAAGACCCAGAATTCAGTAAAAACTTGCTGCCATTAACTTGTGCAAATCCACTGCAAATACTTTGCATCAACCTCAGTGCACCATTACCCACATGAAGCACACAGTCTGCTTACCAGAAAATAGACCTCTGAGATATGTGGTCATATGTGCTGGTTATATGCCCAGTAATAATGACCACTTTGCCTCCGCAATAGTGTATACAATGGTATCCTTCACTCTGGAATGACCTCCAGCCACAGTAACAGATCTGGTGTCAGTCACACATTCTGCCAAGCATATGCAGAGAGTAAGAAACTCTATAGTGCATTACCCAAAAACACTGCGCAGTCTTTATTAAAGTATCATACTTTCAGCATAGCATAATATAACAGCATTAAAACCACTAGTATAGACTCTCACGCTGTGCAAATCCGCAGCCATGCATGATGACGTCACTCTCAGGCTCCACCCAACGCGTTTCTTATAACCTCTTTAGGGAATAGCTTGCCTGCTTTGTTCAGCAAGGGATCCATGAACATATACCCTGCTGAATCAGGGAAGAATAAGATGGAAGCCACTTTTGTGACTTCCATGCTGTTTTGTGTCCGCATTTTGACAACGGACCTTTGCAGACCCATTTAGGATCTTTGGGGTGGCCGATGGAAAAGGACTTCTTTCTATTTATATCAGGTTAAATTCGATCCATCACATTTGGGTCCAGAAAAATGGAAAAAGTAAAAGTAGCAGTCCTTTTCTTTCCTCTTTCAGACCTGGGTGAACTTGTAAGTGTACATCTGCCCACCCATTGCGACTTACATGGAACCTCTGATCTAGTCTGCCTCTGAAAAACTGACAGAGAGATCTGATCAGAATCCCTGTGTGAAAGGACACAAATAGTGATACTTACAAGACTTTAAAATATGTTGATACTAATAGTGCCAGAGCTAGATGACATTGGCTTCATGCTGATCTATAGCAGCGGTTCTCAACCTGTGGGTTGCGACCCCTTTGAACGACCCTTTCACAGGGGTCGCCTAAGACCATCGGAAGACACATATTTCCGATGGTCTTAGGAACTGAGACACCGCTCTTCTATCCGTCTCATGGCGGGTCCGTCCACATGCAGATAGACTCTATGATGTAGTGGTGAGGGCGGCCGGAGGGGCTCGGCAGGGTGTCCCCGCACTCTCGGCTTGCTGCGAGCCTCTCACGCTGAACTAACACCAGCACACTGACTGGCCCGCTCCCTCTTCCCTGTGCGTTATGAGTGGCCGGCCAGGCTGGAGGCTCCTCTAAGGGGTGGGTCGAAGGTGCCCCGCTGCTGCCCATTGGCTGCCCTTGCACCTGCTGCATGTTTCCCTGGGTGGGCAGCTGCTCACAGCAGCTGGATAGATGTGAGCCGGGCCCCCCTTTGTCTCCGGGGAGGGGGGATCTGGTTACCTGCATAGCGTGTGCCCTACAGACGCTCACCTCCCACGGAGGCTTCTCCTCACAGCACTTGTACAAGGGCTGGCACCAGGGCACACGGCCCGCTAGAGGGAAGTACACAGCGACCAGCAATCCCAAACTTTCCGGGGACATACAAGGAGCCTCAGGACAGATGACTTGGTGTGGGAGAGGGCTGATATCCCTGGGGGGAGGGGGGGAATACTGGCCATACACACTTCAATTTTACTATCAGATCCAATTGACAATCAGATTAACTTCCGTTAACATCAAATTCCTTCAGTCGATTGACCAGGGCGCAAAATGATCAACTGTTTTGCAATAATTTTATGGAGGAGGGGTCACCACAACATGAGGAACTGTATTAAAGGGTCGTGGCATTAGGAAGGTTGAGAACCACTGATCTATAGGATTAAAAATGAATCATGGTAACAAGGGGCCCATACAATGTGCTATTATTGTGTTGTACCTTTTCCAGACTTCACAATATAGTCATCAAAAAGAATCTTCATTCTAGTCAACGTTCTTCTAAACCACCGTAGGGTTTTGCTTTGCCAGCAGGCAAGAAAAATATTATTTTGGTACCTCCAGTAATGTGCTTTACAGAAGCTAATAGAACAATAATCTTTTTTTACCTAAAGATCATTCCGATGTGTTTGTCTGCTGCATTCTGGGAGGAATTCGTACACACTCCGATCGTCAGTCATGTAAAAATCATCTTATGTCTGTGGATAACATCACATCCTAGTTTGCATACCCAGGATATATACAGGCACAAATATTGACTCAAATCCTGTATTGTATATCCATAGTTATAGATTGGAACTCTATGTATCAAACACAGCAAATACTTTACTCCTGCGCTTTGGATGGAATCAGCAGAGGCTGGGATGACAATATAAATGTCCTGGAATATGCACTCCTTGCTGCCCTCAACGGACCGGGTTAGTCCAGAGTCACTGAATGCAAAAGAAAAACAAAAAAAGGGCGCACTGGCCTAGTGCATTATCGTAAAAAAATATTTATTGAAAGGATAAAAAAAGTAGGTATCATACTCACAATGGACATATAAAACACAGGCACATCACAATGAACAAAGGTGTTCAATCCATATAGCATCTGAGTCCACAACGATGGAACCTCGATGCCCAACTGGCTGACGCGTCTCAAGGATTCAGCCTCTTCCTCAGAGCCCTATGTAGCCTTGCTGAAATATTTATTCCTAATAGACTGGCTTCTGAAGACTCCACCTACAGACAACCTCATTATATAAAGTCAAGGGGTGTCACTAGATATAGAAACTTAAAAGTAATACTGAGCCCTCCTGCAAGCCGCTTATTGAAACAGAAGTTAATATTGTGAGTTGCTGGTGGATTGTTTTGAGCATAGCATCTGCTATTCTAGAACCCTGGTAGATTTAGGACCAGCAGGTAAAGAAAAAAACTTTCTGTGCACTGTATATTCTGGTACATTTCTTTTCTTTTTTCTTTATATTGCCATGGAGGAGAATTGTAGGCTGCCATTGGTGGTTCTGAAAATTTACAATCTGCTTAGCTGTTTCAATACTTTCTTAATCACTAACCTGTAACAAGTGTGTAGCAAGTGAGGTCAGAACTCCAGATCCAGCTTGTAGCCAAAGGATCAGCATTACAGCCACACAGCTAACATTTTCAAGAAATTCAGCCTTGGCAGGCCCCATATTTTTCCTTGATTGTTGGTAACAAACCTGTGATCAGTACAGCTTCAAATTTTTTTTTTTTTTTTTTTCCTTTCAGTGAGAAGTGAAGATAAAACAGAAAATCTGAGGCATAGAAAACATGTACAGGAAATTAGACAGAGTTCCCCTCAAGAGTACAGAGTTGAAGATCAGAGAAAAAGTCCTGAAATCCTTGAGAAATCTGATGAGCAGGAGGTAATGGAATCACCTTAAATTACAGTATTAAAGGATAAGTTCACCTTTCTAAACTTGTTACATGTTATGCCCGTATTTAGGGTGTAACATATTGAGCATCCACCACCTCACCCGCCCGATCTGCCCCCTCCTTGTGACAGTGGACTGAGGACCTTTTCCCCACACCCGCTGTGGAAAACAGCGCAGCCATGCAGGACTACGCCAATACAGCCTTGTCATTCATTTACATACATAGAGTTCTGTAAACGAATGCCTACAAGTGCGGTCAGCAATTGTCCAGTCAGCAGCTCAGTAATTCAAATAATGGCCAATTTAATGGGAAATAAAATGCACATCTTTCATAGTGTAGTAACCCAAAGGATGTAAATGTATTAGCAAGAAAGACAGAATAATACTCACAAATATGGTGCACTATACCAGCGCGCAGGAATAATCACCTCTTTCATTAAAAAACAAATTGCCCCCTTAAGGATAAACATCCATCCAAAGTGCAGCAAGTAAAATGGCCGACCTCGTACTTCCGGGGTGATGATATCATGTAACCTTGCCCCATTGAATTGGATATCATTTGAATTACTGAGCTGCTGACAGGACGGTTGATGATGAGATTTGATGAAGAGTGAAGGATTATAACCCATAATATTAGGAAGGCTTATTTAGACCTAACCTGAGAGTGGATCAATAAGTGGAGGTAAGGGCAGCAATGACAGGTGGAGGCACATGGTGGTGCAGCACAGGGATATTGGGAGTATGCTTATATTATATATATTTGTGGACACTGTATTTCAAGTACGTTTTGGTGCACATGATTTGAAGTTATTCACATCAGGAGTGAAGGAATGTTCTGCAGTTTTCTCTTAAGACTTTATAATCTATTCTTTTAGTCACATTATTTTGCTTTATCACTGTGGTGATATGTTTTATATTTAGTACACTTATTATTTTTTTGTAGGATTTGTGTTGCATGTGCAGTACAGTTGCACACTTATAAGAATTATTGGTTTTCGCAGCACTTTTTTGGTATTATTATATTGCAGCTTTTCAATTCTTAGATATGGTGGCATTCGTTTTACTTTTTTAAGGCTTTTTTATTTTATTTTCACCTGTTGATCTGTCCAGTAAAAAAGCACCTACAAATTGGCTGGATCGAGTGAGGGCTCAGGTAAGTATAAGGGGGGTGAGGGAGCATACTACTACCTAAATATTAAATTATGCATTAAGGTAAAAAAATGTTTTAGAATCACTTTTAAACATACATTCTACCCCAGCGGACATGTGGGTAGGCTGAGAGTGCATAATAGCTAGTGAACAGTTGAAGGGAAAAAAAAGGAAAAAACAAAAAGTTAAATGGTGTAATTATCCAAAATGGTGAGGCCTATACACTAGCATTCTCAGTTTGTATCCAGCCAAGATACTTCCTGCATATTGTTTGCTTGTTCTCCCTGATCACACTCCAAAGTCATGCTGGTACGTTAGTTGGCTCCTATCTATTGTGACCCAAGTATGTATACATGCATGCGAGGTAGGGACTTTAGATTGTAAGCTCTTGAAGGGCAGGGACATATGTAATGTCTACAATTTGTAAAATGTTGGCACTATGTAAGTAGCGTACGAGAGTGGCAAAGCTTTTGCTTACATTTAACTATTACTGGACAGGTCAGTCACATCTTGTAGTACTTTTGTGCTTTGTACACCCATAAGTCAGCAAAGTGTAAGTACTTACACCTACTCTCTTGTGCCTCTAGCAGATATCTGTTCAGCATGGTTATGTGCAGAAGTGCTCAGGTTATGTGAGAAATTCTCAGACACTAAACCATTAAATATGGCTTACTGTACATTTTGTGTGTTTTTGATTAGTACATAATATAAAATAATGTCCTGGTGTACCCATATTTTAAGATCTCTGAGTCTAAAACATCCCAAGAAGAGCAAGAAGAAGGAAACTTAAGAGTAAGGTTACCAGAACACGAAAGTACAATGGTGAAAAAAGCTGAAGAAAATGCCAGACTAAGTACTCCCGAAGAAGAAAATCCCCTGAACAAGTACATGCAGTTACTGCTCCAGAATCGAGCAGAAGAACAGCCTGACAAGGTGAGCTGCACACACAGATACTTTGTTTTTATACACACACAAGGTGAAAGGAAAGACCTAAATCCATGACACTTAACCTATTGTACAATGTGTTCAGCTAATTGCTGATTCAGGGGAAACATAGAAACAAGAAGAGGCAGCTGTCATTTGTCTTCAGTGAAGCCTTGCACATTATAGACAGAGGTATTTATATTAATAATGAGCGGTATCCTACACATTTTAATCTAGCTCCAATGATGCGGTATTGTATGCCTTTATGCTCATATTATCCAGTTTAAAACTGTATTTATCTATCGGACATTGAGGGGCACAGCTTGATGCTTAACCTAGGGTTATACTGCCACCTACAAGACAAATAGACAAGTAGGTACATAGAAAACTTAAGGACAGTCCCCTAGAGGCTATAACACCTCCCACCTTTCACCTGCTCAGTTTTGCTTAGGGTCCTTAGGAAGATGGGTGTCTCTTTCCTTTCTGTTGTATTTTTTGCTTGAATTTTTCTACTGTCAACAGCTGCTGATAGATTTAGACTGGATTTTGGAAATCCTGGAAGTCTCTCCAGTTAGCCGACAAGCGCAGGTTTTCCCAGTGTATTAGGAATATCAGTGTTCTGTCTGTAACAGTCCAGCAGTCACCACAAGACTCTGCTTTCAGGTCAGGCCAATCATCTTGGTGTTCCTTGAGGAGTTATCGGGCTTACAGCTGTGGCTTTGATTCCTCTCCCCATCTATGAGGACTCACTATTATGGTCATTTTGTGAGGGAGTTAAAATTCTGCTTTTACTGTTGAGAATGTCCAATACTTTTAGGTTAATTTTTAACTGGCCACTAGGGGAGCCCAGCTCTGTTTATGCCTGAACTGCCATTTGTAAACTTCCTGCTGTTTTTCTCTCATTGGCCAGGATTTGTGACACAGCACTTTGAGGTTGGCGATTATCTGGTTCTGCTTCATTTTGCTTGTAATGCTGATCTTGTAAAATGAGGCCCATGAGCCAATTTATCTCCATTCTGCTTTATGTTCATATTTCTGTGGACTGCAATGGTGACAGCTTGGAGAGCTTAGACTGTAGATATCTTTATCCAATTTGTCAGGAACAGTGTACTAACCGTAACAATCTGCAAGATTCTGCTTTCATTGTGGGTTAGGGCAAGCCATACACATTTGACACATAGCCCAATGGATAGAACTACCATGCAGGAGATTGTGAGCTTAAAGTGGTTGTAAAGGCTGAATGTTTTTTACCTTTGTGCATTCTATGCATGAAAGTAATAAACCTGTGCGTAGCAGTGCACCCCAGCCCTTCAATTCTTACCTGAGCCTCATCGTGATCCAGCGCTGTGAATGACAGCCTCGGCTGTTCCGGGTCTCTGCCTCATTGGCTGAGACAGCAAGCAGGAGCCTTTGACTCTCTCTGCTGTTAATCACAGCCTGTCAGCCAATGAGGAGAGAGAGGGGTGAGGCCTAGCTGCGGCTCCATGTGTGAATGGACATACGGAGCAGCTGGTACCCCCATAGCATGCTGCTTGCTGTGGGGCACTCAACAGACAGGAGGAGCCAGGAGAGCTTGCGTGAGACCCGAGAAGAGGAGGATCGAGGCTGCTCTGTGCAAAACCATTACACAGAGCAGTTAAGTATAGACATGTTCGTTATTTAAGAAAAAAAAAATTGAACCTTTTAGAATCGCTTTAAATCCCCGAGGTGGCAAGTGTAATGTTTAGAGGAAACATTTGGGCAGCAGACATAATCTTTGTGTCCTAAAGTTCTGCCTGCAGTGACAGTACCCACATTTTTATGGCGTGGTAGTCTTCCTGGTACTCCCTACACTCAGCTGGTCCATTGATACTCTTGGGGAAGTTTGTAATGGAACCGACCGAGACTGCGCTTGAGTACTTCCGTTAGAATACCGCTTCCCCGTCCGAATACCGACAACAGACACCACAGCCGACCATACAAGACTAGACGACACCAGTCTGTCTGAACATGGAACTCCTTTATTTTAAACTCAAACTGGATTTTTATACAATATACACTGAGACTGATCACGATCATTGATCATATGAAAACGCAGCTATATACAGAAATAGACTTGACACACTAAACAGTAAGTTAATTAGGTTAGCTAGCTGGGTTACCAAAACAAAAGGTGAATGGGAATTCACACCTAGACAATGGTTTGATGAATTAGGATCTCACTACAGCACAGACAATCCGGCTCCTTCAATTCACATGTCTAGTTCAGAATCAACAACCAGGAATAGTCTTCATATGGCTGATAAATATTACTGTCCCATCTGAAGTAATTCCAACCGCATTCTCAGCAGCCATTAGTCACCCTGTGCCCCTAAGAGACACAGGGTGACTTACACATAAGAGGGATATAGGGAGCTGAGACAGGGGTCTCCCAACCTCTGCAAAGTAAGCTGGGTTCCATGAGCCCCCACCCAAAGTGACTCTTGTCACAAAGTTGGGTGGCTTTTTTTTTTTCCTTAAAGGTACCACATCTTCTGATTTTAAACAACATATCTGATGTCAGAATGGCTGTTGCCCTCCAACTGAGGTTGACCCTCCTAATTGGGACTTAATTTGTATTCTGTGCAAGATCAAATTTGGTGCAGGAAATCTTTGTGCTTTCTGCATTTCTCACAGATTCCAGATGAATCCACTTGTGCTAAAGGTAATTTTTTAGCCTTCTTTTTATCTCTGGGGACTTGGTATACTTTCTGCCTTTCAACAAAGGCATTTTCTTCAGTTATACAAGGTGTTATGTCTCAGTTGGTCCAACTTGTGGCTACACATGATCACAGAGCTTTAAAATGCTCACCACCATCTTCATTAGCAGAGTCTGACACAGAAAAGCTTAATATATCTCTGTCTGACATCTGTCAGATGCTCCCTTTCCTAGAGGAAGAGATTTCATCAGATGAATTTCAGCCATCCTTTCCCTATTACTGTGTATAACATTCACTGGCTGTGCTACAAGCAGTAAAAAGTTTTACCCAGACACTCAAACTAAGCTCTTGCATCACAATTTTCCCCTTCTTCCTCATAGTCAGGTTCCAGTTCCTGAACCCACAAAGTTTCTTCCACCTCCTTGGAATAGGTGGGTTCTAAACACCTGTGGCAAACCAAGGGATCCAAGCCTGCAGATAAATCCGCTGCCACAAGGCTTGCCTGTAGGGTTTTTGAGTGATCAGCATTGTCCTGTAAGGTTGTTTTGCCCAATGTGGTCTCTGCTTTTCACCTGAATGAGGATATTGCGTCACCTTCTCTGGGTCCGGCACTGGTTCACCTCAGGGTGATCTCTCTCCATTGCCTGGATATGGTGAGGGCTCTCTGGGGTTACCTTTCTGACACTGCTTCTTTTAGACAGATTTCCTTTGTTATTTCAGATGGTCCTAAAGGATGCTCTCTTGCTGCTCCACTATTTTGATTCAACAGGTTATATTGCAGGCCAATGAATTGCAAGATAAAGTGCCTCCTTTTCCTGTTAAATATGGCTCCAGTAGGGTACTGAGCGCTCTTTGGGCTTTTCATCATCAGTCTTCTTTGTCACAGATCTGTGAAACTTGCAACCAGGTCTATTTGTACATATGACAAAATGAGTAAACAAAAATGAGTAGTTGTCACAAATCCGTGACAAAATTATCAGATTGAACAGTCAGCTCCAGACACAAAGCAGGCCATCATATATTACTTTACAACATTCCTGTCACAGCATACTTGACAGGACATCATACTGAAGCTCTTAGGCCAAGCCCTCTAAAAGCCATTTAGCAGCAATACACATTTGAATCGTGCCATACTTTAACCTGAATATGCTCTTTTCATATAACCAAGGTCTCAAACTCTACACATGCTTTATAGAACCTGTTAAAACAAAATTAAAATCATAAAGAAGTTCTACCCAAATTTATAAGCATATTCCAAATAGTTTGATACCAAACAGGCCTATGCTATAATGTACAGCAAGCAAGTTGGTCACATTAACGCTCCTAAAATTATAGGCAGCTAATTTACATCACATTTTATCTCTATCAAATCGTGACTTCCTTCAGTGCAATAATATATTGGTTGTCAAACTTGAAAGCATGGTCATCTAGAAATATTGACACAGTTAGAAAAACTGCCACATAGGGAGTGCCCGTTGAACTATCATAAAACACTTTAACACCCCTTCAGCACACTTCTCAGACCCTTTGATTGGTCATGTCATTTTTGTAAATGCCTTCCTCAGGGACCAGAAAAGGTGGCCGCATCTGCAGCCTGTGATCTTTCAATTTTTCATTGATTCCCTAAATGCTGTAAATATATAAAAGAATACTTGCCATGTTTTTTGCTCTGTTGCTTTCTTGCCTGGTGTTGCAGTGAATACCACAAACATTTCTTAAAGGTCAGAATTGTTACAGCAGATACTGTGAATAGTGTGTGTTACTGTTAAAACAATTGGTGTCACCTATTGTTTGTCTGTGCGTAAAGGGTTAACTGCAGAGTTGACTGACCCCAATGAAATTCACTTTCAATCTCCTGACACTAAGATTGCTGTCTCATGAGCTGGAAAATCTTTGCACTGCGTGAGGCTAAGGGTGCAAGGGTCGCAGTGTACTCTTAAGTTCTACAAAGTTGGTGTGTCTGTCTCTACAGATCCTAATTTTGGTCGGAAGGTTCTGCAAATAGCGATTTAATGTCCTTGGTTTCTTTGAGTTGGTTAACCTAAGTCTGGTTTGGTGTACCCCCTCCTTCCTCGAATTGAACTGGCATTCAACATGCCAAGGTTGATTTGTTATCGTCAAACTGTGCCCCTTAATGGATGATAGAGAAAATAGGATGTTTGTACTGAAAAAGTCCATTGATAGACAAAGCTTCTTCTACTCATGTGCTTTTGTTTTTTCTTTGAACTGCTTGCTACAGCTGAGCAGGTGTGAGAGGGGTTATAGCCTTAAGGGGCTGGCCCTCAGGTTTATATGTGCCTAGTGTCAATTTCTTCTGTGGGTTGCAGTATAACCCTTGGTTACTTGTTATAAAATTGTGTCCTTTCATTGGACACTGAGAAAAGGATTGGACGAGGAGGACAAAATCCTTTTTCTATTCCCATCAATGTCTACTTATGAGCTTTGTGGCCACATGGTTGAAATACAACATAAAGGCTGAGCTATGCATCGACCAGTTATTAAGATTTTGTTATATCATTTCGATTTTTATTTTTAAGGTGAAACAGTACTAAATTGCAGACCTCTTTTGCTACCTGTAGTTTTCTCTAAATTGGTCCCTGTGCTTTCCCTTGGGCTCTAGGCCCAATCTATAAATGAGCCATCAGCTATTGGCAGGTTGCTGTTATTTGCACCACCTTGTCTTGTTCATTTCATTCAGCTTTCTCATGTTAGAGCCTCTACTGTCCACCAAACTGAGGCCCCGTGTTCAGTTTGGGTGTAGGATCCAAGCAGCCCCTCAGAGATTAATCTGAAGACTATCAAAGATACTTGCAAGGTGCCTGCACTTTAGCACTGTTGTTACCTTACATTTAAGGCCAGGTCACTGTAGAATACACCTGTCACCAACTGAAGTCAACAAGCAAAAGAATTAGCAGTATGCAGCTTGACAATGGGTCCCTCTCATCCAATTGGCCATGCCACTGTTGAAGAGCAGACAATCTTCTTTACAAATGAAGTGGATTTTCTCCATTGTTGCAGGCAACTCCAGTGCTGTAGCTTACCCATTAGTTCCCATGAGTGCCAGGTTTTACAAAAATCTACATGACCACTTTACAAGAAAGAGGCAGGAAAGTGGACATACATGGGATTATCAAGCAGAATTTAGCACTTTTTTAAATGTGTTTCAGAAAATACTTGCTTTATTCCTGTGATGCCTGGATTCCACTCCACTGAGTTGACCGATTTATTACGAACTTCTAGAGATATGGATTGTAGCCAGTGGTAGCCAGTAACATTCAGCCACAGGATGTAGCTCTGTGGTCCAGTCTGGAGTCTTTGGCATTTAGCTTGCATTACATGTACCATGACTGTGTGTGAAGTGTCCACATTATGTGATTTTTAATGTTTTTTATGGTTTTCAGGTCACCAAAGAATCTGTGGATGACGTTTCTTTGATTGAAAAACTTTCTAATGAAAGGTAAAACATTTATTTAATTATACTGGTCACTTAGGGTCAATTTTGTTTTATTTAAAATTTCCACCCCAATTATTTAGTCCTGTGGACAAACTACACGTGTGTCCCAATATGTTATGCTCATCTTCCTTTCATTTTTCCTGTTCAATTTCTAACACTGGCTATTTGTACATCTCATTGCTGGAACCCCAGGCATATAGAAAGCTTCTGTTTGAACACATGCCTGTATTTCCAGTTTTGAGTGGCATTAGCTTTTTGACTATTCATAGTGTAACCTTAATGGAGATTTAGACTAATCTGTAAAAGTTTTGGGAAGTAACACTTAAAGTGGTTGTAAACCTCAAACACGAAATCTGGACAAAGCAAATACTGTATTTACAGTGAGGAACAGAAGTATTTGAACACCCTGCGATTTTGCAAGTTCTCCCACTTAGAATTCATGGAGGGGTCTGAAATTCACACTGTATTCCCACTCTGAGAGACAGAATTTAAAAAAAAAAAATTCAGGAAATCACATTGTATGATTTTTAAAGAATTTATTTGTCTTGCACTGCTGAACATAAGTATTTGAACACCTAAGAAACAGCAAGAATTCTGGCTCTCAAAGGCCTGTTACTTTGCCTTTAAAAAGTCCACCTCTACTCCACTCATTAATCCAACTTAGTAGCACCTATCTGAGCTCTTTAAAGACACCTGTCCACCCCACAGTCAATCAGACGCCAACTACTACCATGGGCAAGACCAAAGAGCTGTTAAAAGACACCAGAGACCAAATTGTGGACCTCCACAAGGCTGGAAAGGTCCACAGGGCAATTGCCAAGCAGCTTGGTGGAAATAGATCAACTGTTGGAGCAATTGTTAGAAAATGGAAGAGGCTAAAGATGACTTTCAGTCTCCCTCGGACTGGGGCTCCATGCAAGATCTCACCTCGTGGGGGTATCCCTGATGGTGAGGAATCAGCCCAGAACTACAAGGGAGGAGCTGGTCAATGACATGAAGAGAGCTGGGACCATAGTTTCAAAGGTCACTGTCGGTAGAACACTACGCCGTCATGGTTTCAAATCATGCATTGCACGGAAGGTTCCCCTGCTTAAGTCATCACATGTCCAGGCCTGTTTGACGTTTGCAAATGACCATCTGGATGATCCAGAGCAGGCATGGGAGAAAGTCATGTGGTCAGATGAGACCAAAGTACAACTTTTTGGTCTAAACTTCACTCGTCGTGTTTGGAGGAAAAAGAAGGATGAGTTGCATCCCAAGAACACCATCCCTACTGTGAAGCATGGGGGTGGTAAAGGGGACATCATGCTTTGGGGGTGCTTTTCCTGCGAAGGGGACACGACGACTGCTTCTGTACCAAATATTAACACTGATTTTCTCAGGTGTTCAAATACTTCTGTTCAGCAGTGCAAACCTGACAAATAAATTCTTTACAATACAATGTGTTCATTTCCTGAAAATGTTTTTTTACAATAATTCTGTCTCTCAGAGTGGGAATGCACCTACAATGTGAATTTCAGACCCCTCCATGATTTCTAAGTGGGAGAACTTGCAAAATCGCAGGGTGGTCAAATACTTCTGTTCCTCACTGTATATAGTGTTTATGTGTCTCTCTAAGTGTCATTTCTCTCTGCTGTCTAGTTTCTCTATCAGAATCAATTACTTCTGACACATTTTCCGGACACCAAGAGAAAAATGGTGACAGGGGAGGGAGCTCCAGCTGATTGACAGCCTCAGCTCTGTTCCTGTGCTGTGTGAAGGGGGTGTGGGTGTCTTCCCTCCAATCAGTTCTCAGAGCACTTTTACAGTGTGTATCAGCAGCTCTCCGCTCCCTGCTTTGTGGGTCTGTAAAAAATATTTTTTCATCTCCGAGTTTTACAAGGATGTATAGGACAAATGACTGCAAATAAACAGGTACAACCTATGTAGGAGGATTTGTTTCACCTCTGTGTATCACCTGAGGCTATTCACTTCACTGGGTATAGGCATGGGTTTACAACCACTTTATTAGAGAGAAATGGGTCATTGCAGTATTTTCCAAGCCAGTCATACAACACTAATTACAAGTTTTTATGTCTGCTACCATGGAGCAGTGGTTGAAATTTGTATATATCTCCTACAAGGATGTGCTGTCAGGAATTACAATCCTTAGCTGCTTGGGGGAAGGTGTTGGGAACATGGACTTGCTGCTTTTCATTGTATGCAGTTTACAACAACCAATATGTGCAAGCCCCCATATGTTTCAGTAATCCTAATGCACCACACTGAACCCTTAAAGTCTGTAATTTTGCTTGAATGACACTTAAAGCGATACTAAAGGTTCTTTTATTTTCTGTAAAATAACAAACATGCCTATACTTGCCTGCTCTGTGTATTGGTTTTGCACAGAGCAGCCTAGATCCTCCTCCGCTTAGGTCCTCCGCCTTGCACTCTTGGCCCCTCCCACCTGTCGGGTGCCCCCAAAGCAAGCAGCTTGCTATGGGGGCACCTGCTGCTCTGTGTGTCCATTCACACATGGAACCGTGGCTCGGCTCTGCCTCCTCTCTCTCATTGGCTGACTGGGTGTGATTGACAGCAGCAGGAGCCAGTGGCTCTTGCTTGCTGTCTGAGCCAATGAGGAGCCAGAGACCCAGGACAGTCAAGGCTGTCATGCACATTGCTGGATGTCGATGGGGCTCAGGTAAATATTGAGGGGGCTGTGGGGCACTGCTGCACACAGAAGGTTTTTGTTACCTTCATGCATACCTTGAGCCGTTACAACCACTTTAAATGTCGTTTGACCTTTTTAGAATAACAAATTAAAACTATCCTATTTAACAAATCTTTAAAACTTTACATATGATAAAACTTTTATATATTGTAAATTGACCAAATTACCTCTGATCAGCAGCCACAGAAAGCTTTGAGGTTACCATCAATGAAGGAGGTTCCACTAGTCACTAAACTTAAAGGTTTATACTCCCTTTTTTTTTTTTTTTTTTTTTTTTTTAAATTAGTGACCTTGGTAGATTAAACAATTTGTTCAGGAACAATAGGCAATGTGATTTGCGTGTGAATAGTTATAAATATTTTGTTTATGCACACTTAAAGTACCTGCCTTTTCTGCTCTTTGAAAATCCTTGGACACCATTTGCAAAGCTCATAATCCTGAGACTGGTTTTCAAAAGTATACAAAGATGTTTCTCATTCTACAGAACCCGCTTCCTCATATCTGAATTATACATCGTTTCCCTTGTGAAACTCCTTCCCTGTGGGGGGGCACATTACTAGCCTTTTAAATGAAGTGTATTTTCTGAAAGAGCAGATGGGCCGGAAGAGAGGTGAAGGAAAGTATTTTGGTGCTTTTGTCTTGATTGTAGAGCAGTATATGACCAAATATATACTTGGCATATTAGAATATCATTCATTAAATAGGTGAAATGCCAGGTTTCCTTGGATTCCATTAAGGGCTCTTACATGGCTTTTTTGCACAATGTATATAAATTATGTAATTGTGAAGCTGCCCACGTAGCTTTCTGCCTATTAAGATCATTTGTGTCTTTCTTCAGTATCACAGCTCATTCTATGGGAGACGCAGATGAGGAGTTCTGGTAAAACAGTCGTTTCCTCTCTTCAAGATGAATCCAAGTCCTTTGAATTTTCAGACTAATGGTTTCTGTGACCGGCGCAGGCTCTCTGTTTGATGTGGCAGTGTTGGCAGGAGCTGATTCTTATGGCAGAAAATGTTGCATATCTTTCCTGCTGAGCCTGTTAACTCCTCATGCCTGCAATTACTCATTAAGAAGACACCAGGAAGGAAATATCCTGCTACTCCATTTTAAATTAAGTCACTGTAAAGAAAAAAAAATCACAAAAGAAAATAGGGGCAGCCGTTGTGGACTGCCTCTAAAATGCTAGTCGCCTGCTTGCCTTGCTGACCAATGAGCTTCCATACTGTGGGACATTAATTTAGAACTAGCATGCACTAAGCGGTCAGCAGGACAGCCAGGCAACTAGCATTTTCTGAAGAAGAGGTCAGCAGTGGCAGCTGCCATGTTTCTTTTGTGACAGGTTCCCTTTAATATGTGGAATCACTGTATTTAATGTTATGTGTGTGTTTGTGATGTCTAGATTCTGTTTGCTTTTCATAACTGATCCTAATTTTGAGCAAATCATTTTTTTAAAATAAAAAAAGTGGAAATGATGTAGGCATCTTCCCACATTCATAGTTCACATAGATAAGAGGTTTTCTTTTGTTTTAAAGCTCACAGGCCTTGTACACACAGGTTTGATTGTGTATAAGAGCAGTGTGTACAAGAAACTTTTGTAATGCTTTGCCTACACCAGGGGGGTCAAACTCCATTCTATCATGGACCATATCAGCATTATGATTGCCCTAAAAGGACTGGTCGTATCTGTAAGACTAGATGTTCAGAGCACCCCACCCCCCATGTCAAAAATCCCACACCCTCCCTAACATCACTGTGCACCCCCTTTGGGGGCAGAGCTGGAAAGCAGAAAGTGCAGGGTCTGGAGGAGGACCAGAGGAGGAGGAGTGAGCAGAGGAGGAGTGGAGTCATGAGGAGGAGTGGAGTCAGTGACCAGAGCTTTCTGAATGCTGAGACTGGGGGAGGCAGAGATGAGGCAGTGCTGCAGCTGCACTGCGACATGCAGGATTTGGCAGAAGAGTTCACTGCTGAGAAAAGGGGGTACCTGCAGGAGAGCTGCAAGGGCCACATGAAAATGGTCTGGAGGGCCCGATTTGTGTTTGACACCTGTGGCCTATGCTATTAAAGAGCCATTCAGCTGCAGCTTTGGGAGGTTGAACAAACTTAACCCCTTAATGATGGAGGGTAAAACAAATGTTAACACCTGAACACAATTGTGCAACTTTGACATGTGTCAGTAAAACCATACATATCATCACAATTACTTTGTGCATCCCAGTAGATTATACCTTCTATAATTCAGGACAAATTGGCTTTCCTTTGGTGGTAAATGGTCATATATATTTCCCGATTTGTATTTATTTTTTATTATTATTCTCAAAGGAAACTTGGCCCTAAATATTAAAAGATATTTTTTTCTTAATTTAGTTGTATATTTCTTGCTATTACCATAACTTACCACCAAAATTAATTCTCCTGCTCCTGACGATCGCAGCAATACTGCATATGTGTATTTTATTTGTCACTTGTACCCATAGTAGGGTCCAGATAAAATGAAAATGTTATCGGGAGAATGAGTTGCCAGCTCTTCATCTTATACTCCCAGTCCTGATCGTTGGTATGAGACTCGGGGCTCTCGACGAGAACCCAGTCTCTGTGCTGGGAGCATATATGCAGCCTCACAGATAAGGACCCACTTCTGAGGCCCTATATATGCGTACGTTTGGTACCAATGGGTTAATAGGTGTGCTGTCACTTTAAATATGCTACAAGCAGCATTTAACACTACACAAAGCTTGTTAAAAGCCTGCTAGCTGCTTGTTTTATAGTAACAGTCATCACATCCATTAAGATGCATGCTCAGCATTCCCATACTGGAGCTAAACTTTTCTTCTCAGGCTTAAACAAAAACTGTTCGAAGCTTTTTGAAAGCTTTAAAATATTCCTTAAAATCTTGTAGTATGCACTGCTCTTATAGAAGCTAAAGCTCATGTGAACAAAGCCAAAGCATGCGCAAATAATTGAAAATGTTGTGCAAGTATATGGTTAACATACTAGATTAATACAGAAAGGAAGTCCATTTCATGGTAGTTAACACGGCATGGTGTTGAAAAACACTTTTGTAAGTGCATAGTTCACAGTAAAAGTCCATGATGGGATTAAATGTACATAATGTACTTGTAATGCAGTAACATGCCACATGATCGCTTCCAGTCGCTGGCGTGCATTAGCCGTAAAGGGTGATTGAACCTACCTGCTCCATATTTCTGTACTTGATTGTCTAGTGACAAAGATTAGAACAAAATGCGCCCATAATCATTCATTTTAAAACACACAAATGGGCAATACATGATAAATGTACATACTACAAAATGTTGCTGTAATTAACGATCAAGTTGGGTACATTTCATATGACCTTGCAGCTTTATGGGAGCCTGATAGTACAAAACATACAATATTGTTAGGGGTGCAATTGTGTTATTAAAGCGGAGTTCCAGCCATAAAAGTAATAGTAAAAGTCAGCAGATACAAAAACTGTAGCTGCTGACTTTTAATAAACACACACTTACCTGTCCCAGGGTCCAACGATGTTTTCACCTGTGCCGTCCCTTCTCTCCACAGCACCAGCATATCAACTGTGGGCACCAGGCTGTGACAGCTTGCAGCTTCACAGCCTGGTTTCCACTGCGCATGCGTGAGTCGCGCTGAGCCTCCTAATTGGTCCAGCGGTCTCCTGGGACCTGTGAAAGTTCCCAGGAGACTGCAGGAGGGAGGAGGGGGCTGAACTTCTGGTTCACTTCGCCGAAGCAAACTAAGCCAGATTTGGGAGTGGGTACCTATCAAAAACAAGTGTCCGCTGCCCCCTCCCCCCCAAAAGGTGCCAAATATGGCAGTGAAGGGGGGTAGGAGGCAAACAAGCGGAGCTTCCACTATTGAGTGGAACTCCGCTTTAACATGCCTTTGGCATGTGATCAATTCTTTGCTAAATTAACCTAGGTTTATTGTGCTACCACATAAGGCATGCTTGGTAAAACACAGCTAAGAACATTTCTGCTACACCTAGGTTAAAGTTAAACCACAATTTGAATGTACTGTAAATATATTTATTTAAAAAAATAATGGCTTGTGGTTTCCTTTTCAAACACATTTTCTATTACTCAGATGTTATTGATTATTTTATGCTTTCTTAATAAAATCTGTAGTTACTGTGTTTGGTATCAAGTGGATGTTACTGATTTATTTATTAATAATTCTTTTATTATCGTGAAGTCACAGATGAGATAATGGGGATGTTGCTCATACTGATTAATCAGAATTCTTGTATAATTTTTCCATAAAATGAAAAGTGAAATCTGGTTCCTATTAGTAACACCATTCTTGCAGCCTTTTTCTCTTATGTTTTAAAAATTAGCACAAATTTAGAGTGGATGTAAATGATTGTTTTGATTAAAAAAATAATTTCTATTTATAATAAGCAAAGACAAAAATTAAGTTACTTCTAGAACAGTGGAGCTGTTTTTTGTTTTTTTTACATCTATTTTACTGGGATTTCAAACTATTAGATTTTGCTTTTTATGGTCTATTGAGGTGAACTGGAATTGTTGATAATCATAGACAGGTTATATTGCTGCCTATAGGAGGATTGAACACTGGCAAGAAAAGGAACATTAAGTTAGCCCTCTGTATGACCGTTCCTCCACTCATCTTGCCTTAGTTGTTTGCTAGTGACCAGGGAGGTTGAACATTTTATTATTCTGTTTTGCTTGATCATTTTATTCTGCAATACTCTGCAAATATTTATTACCCTAATTTTAAGACGTTTAATATGCTGCTTGAGCTGGTCTCTTTGCAACAGCTATCCAGATAAGCGTATCCTTAGCAATAGCTTTAGAGCCCCAAACTGCACCCTGCTGGATGGAAGATTGTGGGGCTAGCCTGGAATATGACCTTCAGGCACTGGGTTCTGCTTTTTGTTTCTTTTCAGACCTTTGCATACTTTGTTAGCCACAGAGCACTTTCCCAGTTCACAGCTGTGGCAGAGACACTGGTGTGACCCAGTCTCTGAAGACTCCCTTCATGAGTAAGGCCTGTGGGCTGAAGCTTATTGCTAATTCCTCAGCTTAGTTTTGGAATCCCTACCTTCACTCAACTGGACTGGTAAATTGCAAAATAGCCTAGAATGTGACCTTCAGGCACTGGGCTCTGCATTATGGCTCTTTCCTGATCTTGGTGTACTGTGTTTGTTGGATGAAGGGTGCTCTCCAGGTCCAGCATTGACTGGTGTGACCAAGTCTTTGAAGACTCACTTTGTGAATAAGCCTAAGAATGAGCCAAATATGACCTGGTGTGTCTCCTTTGGGCACTGTGCTCTGTACTAATCAACACAGTTTACAAGGTCTTGAAAAGCGCCACAGTGCAGAGTGTTTTCCCCTGGTTGAGAGTTGTGGCACTGTTTTTCATGTAACCCAGTCTCTGAATACTCACTCTGAGTAAGTCTCTGGCTTTAGTTAACATAACTTGATATGTGACCTTTGGCCACTGGAGGTTGAAGTACCTCTCAGACCTCTGTGTACTGTCTTTTTACCCTGTAGAGTATTATCCATATCTACAAAATTGGCACAACCTTTTGGTGTGACCCAGTCTTTCAACTCAATTGTTGAACAAGACTGACCAGGCCTAAACAGTGGAAGCTTTCACACAGTTTCAACTGTTCTGTACCATTTGCGATTTTCCTTCAGGATCCTGTTCCTAATAATCAATAATAAAGTTCTTTGTGTCTACACTGTTTTTTTGTTTTTTTTTTATTGCCCAAGATATTGCTTTCCTTCAACATGCATGTTTTTCACTCTAACACCTCTGCACACCCCACGTCTGTCTAAGGATATGTGCATCTGTTTCTGGTTTTACTCTTCTTAGGTTTAACAGGCAAGTCATATTGCTTCTCTG